ATTTTGAAAAGTGAGATTATAAAAGCCCAGTCTAGCACAATAGCAATGAAGAAGAAAAATAACAGCTCTCAAAAGAAACCAGCATGGCTGCATAAAAAAAAAAAACCTCTTTGATAAATTGAAAGACAAAAAGGACAAGTATAAAAAGTGGAAAGAGGAGCACATATTTAAAGCAGCATATCAGCAAATAGCCCGAGCATTCAAAGACAAAGGGAGGAAAGTGAAGGCTCAAAACAAACTAAGGCTTGCAACAAAACTCAACAACAGCAACAACAACAACAACAACAAAGCTTTTTTCAACATGTAAAATCAATAAAAAAAAGTCAAGGAAATGATTGATCCATTAATGGGAGAAAGTGGCAAGAAGATGACAAGCAACAGGGAGAAAGCAGAACTGCTTAACTCATTGGATTCTGTTAATTCCAATCTTATCTACTGTGGATAGTCTGTTTTATAGCCTCATAGTGACCACTATCATTAATTAATCACTTTATTTAAAAGAATTACAGGCATATTAGCCAAAATATCAACTCTTTTTTCCCTCTTGTATTTAGAATCAAATTCATCATAAAAGCTTGAAGAGCAACAGAGCCCACAGAGACAATTTTCTACAAGATGAACTTTTAAATATATACTGTATATATCCCCCATGTTGTGAGTCCCACTATTGGCAGGTTGATTTACACACACACATACAGGCAGGCAGGCATATATAAATATAGTACCTCTTATATCCAGTTAGGTGGAAGATGGCAATAGTATTTTCTAAATATAAAAAAGTGTATAAAATACCCAATCAATTACTGACCTGTTGATCAAATAGATATTGTGTCTAAAATAAATGCTAAGTTCCTATTGAGTAGAGTTGATAGTTGGTCGGGGAACAAATAACAAATAATTCCTTGCTGACGACTTTATTTTTTTTTTCATTTATTTATTAAACTTCTTTGCCACCTGTCTCACTGCAAAGTGACTCTGAGCAGTGGTCTTCCGGGTGCGCTTCAAGGTGTTGGTTACCACCTTTAAAGCGCTCCATGGCATAGGACCTAGTTATCTTCGAGACCACCTGCTGCTACCGATGACCTCCCACCAACCTGTGCGCTCCCACAGAGAGGGCCTCCTCAGGGTGCCATCAGCCAAACAATGTAGGCTGGTGACACCCAGGGGGCGGGCCTTCTCTGTGGGGGCACCTACCCTCTGGAATCAGCTGCCCCCAGAGATAAGGAGAATCCAAGACCTCGGTGCCTTCCACCGTGCCCTTAAAATCTTCTTTTTCCAGCAAGCCGGGCTGGCTTAACATATTTTTTAACATATTTTTATTTTTTAATTGGTTTGTTATCTTAAACTGGGGCCAAATTAATATATATCCTTTTAATTGTTTTTTAATGTTTGTATTGTATGTTTTTATCTGGCTGTACACCGCCCTGAGTCTTTCGAGAGAAGGTGCGGTATATAAATTTGAAATAAAATAAAAAATAAATAAATAAATTACCCAAACTAGGCAAGATCATGAGTGCTAGTAAGGAGTGTGGGGTATGCTCTCAAGTTTATCTTCTAATGATTTGCCCTGTAAGCTCTGGTGGGAATGGCCTTGGAGGTCTTTTGCTTGGACTGTTAGTTTGTTTGGCAGTTCCTTGGTTGGGATATTGTTTACTTCTTGATTGTTGGTCTGATGTTAACAGACATTAACAAACATCATGTTAATCAACATCAATTAACTTTAATTTTTGGTGTAAATTGAAAGCTATGGAAATTACAGACTCCCAAAATTGTGTCTGTTAGAACAGGCAAAATTTCAATTAGAAACCTCTTGGCTTATACAACTGACAAATTATATGAGGAATTGTGGTCTTCCTGTCTCTTGTACAATATGAGAAGAAAGTAAAAAAAGAATCTTAAATGTAGAAGCAGAGAATGATGTAGCAATCTTCAAAAACTAAACATAATATGACCCTTTATTGAAACAATATACTTCAGTTAACATCTGCACATGTGAGTCTAACTGCATTAAATTATAGCGGTGATAGAGAAATATGATTTTTTTTTAAATTTGATTTATATGCCGCCCTTCTCTGGAGACTCAGAGCGTCTTACAATGTGCTCAGCAATTTGCATTTTGATTGTTGTTTTTCTGCTTAATTTGCTTCTCATGTTACATTTTTATATGAAGCCTTCTTAATATTCTGTATTTAATATTTTAAACTATGGCTAATCAACGATCTATTCTAAGATGTTTATCAAGATGAAGTTGGATTGATTAAAAACTCATATTTTGGACTTGACCTATATTACAGGCCAAGTTATAACAGGATTATAACACAGCATTCTCCATTGCTTTTCCAGATTAGTCAAAGAATGGCTTCAAAGACTCTGAGTGATAAAAGTAATTTCCCTTTTTTCCACCGGATGCTCCTCAAAGAAGGGTTTCAGTATTCAGCAATTGTCCGAGTGCTCCTCCATTTCAGATGGACCTTGATTGGTCTCCTTGCTCCAGACACAGAGGAGGGAGATAATTTCCTGAGGACTTTTCCTCCTTTGCTTCTCAGGAATGGAATTTGTGTTGTTATATCAAAAGAATTCACAATGACTGGACGTCCAGCACCCTTGAGGGATTCCAGCTTTTCTCAGTGGAAACAAGTCAATGTCTTTGTTCACTTCACAGAACACATTATTGTTTCAAGCACTTTTCATACTTTTCATCTAACACTTGACATTTTGTCAGGACCCATCAGAGAGAAAATCTGGATCACCACAACTTTTGGAAACTATATAGTGAGTCATCTTGGATATCACAAATACATCCATAGTATTTGGAGCTTTGAATTTATGCAAAAATTAAGTTCAGAATATGGTGCTTTTGAACCCTTTTCCTTTTTAGACTCCCAGTATGAAGGCAAGAATTTTCAGTGCTCTTTTCCAAAGCATGTTTTTTCTGTCAAAGGCCGGAAAAGATGCACCCAAAAAACTCCAGTGGAGACAGAAGATGATTTGAATGGGATATTCGTTGAAAACAGTGACTCTGTTTACCTTATCTTTATGACTCTGGCCCACGTCTTGAAGGCTGCATATTCATCCAGATCCTGGAGGAGAAGGAAGGAGACCCAAGAGACACTGGAGGCTCCAAGGCTGCAACCGTGGCAGGTATGGGGTCCCAACAAGGATCCAACTAAACTAAATTCCTCTGGAGAAGGAATCCATTAGAGAAAGAGGGGAATCATACCAACCTCCTTGTGCTACAAAAGACCAGTAGATTTGGCCAATCTAGTTGCTGGGGGGGGGGGGAGCTGGTAGCAGATATAGTTTGATATTAAACACATCTAATTGTAAAAGGGTGATTGCACCTTTAACAATATTCCATTCTGTAGGGTTTGTGATGAGCACTGTAGAATTTTACTTTTATAAATTTGAAGGAGACCCCGAGAACAACATATGGCCTGAGCCTCTGCTGGGTTCTATTTTCCCCAGTGTGAGTGGCTCATGAATCATGCTGGAATGAGGAAGGCAACTTTCAGCTGTTTATCCTTGCAGAATAGAGAGTTTCACGCTTGGGACAGAGGTCCATTTCAAGTATTCTGAATAAACGTTAGCTCAGAACTTGATACAAAATTTTCCTTTGTTGTTTACAACATGTCAACCTTTGTGATTTCTTTCACAAGATCAGAGTTCATCCTTTGTGGTACAGGATGACATTTGTTGCATTTATTACAAGAGAGAAAAAAACTTTCTAACTTTATTATTTTCAGGCATTTCTTGCTGCTTGTAGTTTGTTAGTTTTGCAAGCACCTTGATATCCTGGTTGGTAGTTTAATCCACTCTAACTTTTGGTGGCTACTTTCTACATAATTTGATCCCTTCCTGGCTCACTTGGTGTTGAAACATTATTTGAAACCTTTTTTTCATCAATAGGATTCTTTTCCTATAGAAGTTATTGTTTTTCCTCCTCCTCTAGGATTCAAAGGGGACTTTCCAGTGGTGAAATCCATTTTTTTTTACTACCGGGTCTGTGGACGTGGTTTGGTGAGCATGGTGTGGTTTGGTGGGCGTGGCTTGGTGGTGTGGCGGGGGAAGGATACTGCAAAATCCCCATTCCCTCCCCACTCCTGGGGGAAGGATATTGCAAAATCTCCATTCCCACCCCACTCTGGGGACAGCCAGAGGTGGTATTTGCCGGTTCTCCAAACTGCTCAAAATTTCCGCTACCGGTTCTCTGAATTGCTCAAAATTTCCGCTACCAGTTCTCCAGAACCTGTCAGAACCTGCTGGATTTCACCTCTGGGACTTTCCCTATTGAGGGATTCCTTTGTTTTATATTCTTCTTCATTTTATATTCTTAAACTGTCACCAAGCTATCATAGCCTAACCCTCTTCTCTACAGAAATCCCAGTTAAACATTGTCAGTCTCTGCATTCAGCCAATCAGTAAAGTGGAGACTGAACTTCTCTGGTTCACTTGTGAAGATATTTTTTTCCTTCAATTCAGCCAGAATATCATCACTGTGTTTATTTTATCATGCTCCAGACTCTGATATAACTGTGAACAGATCTTAAGCTTCTGTGTAACATCTTTCAGTTTGGGAAGAGTGCTCTATCCTTCCCCTCTCCAGTTACAACACTATTAAAAAAGATGCTTTTGGGTAATGAACCTTTAACTTCAAGGAGTTTAAGAATATTTTGTTTTGCTGTTCAATTTATTTGATACCTGCTGTAGAATGTTCCCTATAATTGATCCAATGTGTTTATTACATTTTCTCAATACATATTTTTTCAATATAGCATTGACCAATTTTGCTGAATCTTTCTTGTTCACTAATGAACTTAGTGGTAACACCTGTTGATGTAATAAAGCATGTGGGCACATTAAAAAAAACTGTAGAAGAAAAAGTCATGCATGAAAATAGCAGGTGGGATAACAAACCAAGGTTTCTGCTTTTAAAATTCCGGGATGTTTCCATTCTAGTTCCATCCCTTTCTGGAGAAGAATGACTTCTACAATCTTTCCCACTGGAATCTTTACATGGACCATAATGGAGAAATAGCTGCAGACATGGACATCGAGTTCTTGGTGATTTTGCCTGAGGGGGATTTGATCCAAAGGAAACTGGGGAGTATTGAAAGACAGAGAATTATTATTAACAAAATTGCTCTTTCATGGATAAATCTGCTCAACAAGGTGGGTCAAATATTGCTGTGTTTTCTCTTTTTTTCTAAAGATTATGACCCATTTCAAGTGGGCTAATGCTAATCACCATGGTGGATGACCCTGACTGGGAGTTGAATGTACAGAAGAGAAAAGTTAACATTTTGTTAGATGGATGGTGGAGACTTCAGTACTATTCACAAAGGTGTCCTTCAGGTGCCATGATAAAGAATATTCTTTTAAACTGATTCAGTCTTGTCCAATATTGGATGCTGGATAATTTTTTTTTAATTTTTTTTTAATATACTTTATTGAGTTTTCTAGTATTTAAAAAGACAAAATACAATCTCACTCTTGATCGGGGGTACGGTGTTTACACATTTCATAAGTCAAATATTGGATGGATTCCATCCATAACTATCACTATACATTATATTATACAATACTATATAATTCTCTACATTTCTATACAATTGAGTCCATTTCTGGTGTTTAAGCAACTATAGCCTATTATCATACTTTTATCCTATTCTTTAACCAGTTATACCAAATTCCCCATACTTCATAGTGCTTTGAATTTTCTTCATTTTTTAGCTCGTTTGTCAGTTTAGCCATCTCTGCGCACTCTAGGATTTTATTTATTAATGTTTCCTCAGAGGGGGTAGATTTAGATTTCCAAAGTTTCGCAAAGGCTATTCTAGCCGCAGTAATAATTTGAATTGCCAAATGGGTTTTATTATTGTTGAGACCATCTTCCGTCATACCTAAGAGAAAAGATTCCGGGGCCAGGACTATCTCCTGTCCCATTATTTCAGAGAGCCAGAGTCGGATCTTTAACCAAAACTTTTTGGTCTCAGGACAAGTCCACCAAAGATGATAAAAGGTGCCGACCGTTTTTCCACATTTCCAGCATAAAGCAGAAGAGTTTGGGAATATTTTAGCCAGCCTGTCCGGGGCTAGATACCACCTATGCAGCATTTTGTAGTGGTTTTCCCTGAATGTTGCCGATTTTGTTATTTTGAGATTCCTATTCCAAGCTGTCTCCCAGTCATTGAAATTAAGGGCATATCCTAAGTTTTTCTCCCAAATGCTTAACTGTTTTTTAGCTATCGTCTCCGCTCTATCCTCATCTAATATAAAGTTATAAATTTTGGATAGCATTTTCTTTTCTGGACCCCAAATAATTTTGTCAAAATATCCATATTTCATTTCAATACCCCTTCTATCTCTATCTTCTTGAAATCTAGATTTAATTTGGAGATAGTTCCACCAATCCAGATTGAACCCCTGGTCCCTCAATGCTTCCAAAGGTTTGAGCTTCCCTTCTTCGTCCAAGATATCCTTATATGTGCCCAGTTTATAGTTTCCTCTCCTATTTGGGACCACTAGAGCTTCTATAATCGACAACCAACTAGGAACCTTGGTATATATCTTCTGTCTAATTTCCAGCCACGTACAAATCAATGTCTCTCTTATTTTATGTTTATGAAAATACGTTTTCCTCCTATCCTTTATATCCCAGAGGTAAGCGTGCCATCCTTCATGGAGGTCATGTCCTTCTAGTGTCAGAGTTCTCCCTTCTTGTAATTTAATCCACTCCTTTATCCAAATTATTTTTGCCGCCTTTTGGTATAATTCCCAATCAGGGAGCCCAAACCCTCCCAAATTTCTTTTCCCTTGAAGTGTCTTAAGAGAGATCCTTGATTTCTTACCCTCCCACAGGAAATTCCTGATATATTTGTTCAAATCCAGAAAGAATTTTTTATCCAATGATACCGGTATATTTTGAAATAAGAATAGAAATTTTGGTAAAATATTCATTTTGATCGCCGCAATTTTCCCAGTCAGGGACAATTTAAGTCTCCTCCACCTATCAAGGTCTTGATTGATTTTCTGCAATAGGGGAATATAATTATCATCTTTATTCTTTTAAACTGATTCAGTCTTGTCCAATATTGGATGCTGGATAATTATTCTTTAGGATGGAGATCAGCTGGTGAAAAATATTCAAGTGCTGGCGTTTGTGTTCCTAAAAACCTCAGTTTCTTTTAACCAGCATCTGCATTAAGGTTTGGCTGAACTGAGGAAAGAGACACACAAATAAAGAAAGCCCTAATTTTTAAGGATTTTTTCCCCTTTATATCATAATTGGAGGGTGGTTTTGGACTCCTTTCAAAGGGAAGCAATTTTACAATGTTTTATATACTCCAGAAGAAGCCTATCCAGATCCTACTGATCTGAAGTTGGTTTCTTCATTACAGTTTTGTTTTACTTAATAAATCTAATATGAACATTAATAAATCTTTTATAATAATCTTTTCCAAAATTGAATGCAAGATCATAAGACTGTACATTAAAATCACAGTTATGTGAAGAATGGAGAAATGCATGTTAATAAGGCTAAGAGGAGGAACCAAACTGGTTGTCACTTAAGGCTGAAATCTTTTCTATTCCATCTCTCCAGTCTTTTTTAAGAGAAAAATCCTTTATTTCAATGTATGATATCAAAAGCCAAGGGGAGAGAGTAAATGAACAATCTGCCAGTAGTTATTTCTCCTAAATCTGATTGGAATGAGTCGAAGATTTCATATTTATCTAATTGAAGCCTAGGAACTATTTGGCTAATGTTAATCCCTTCATCCATTTTCATGTAAACTTCATCCCAATCTATTTTCTTTGGCATTTCTTCTTCTGCTGCTTAGTCTCTGCCTCAGTCCCAATGTGTGGAAAGTTGTCATCCTGGGTTTGTCAAGCGGAAGCGAGAAGGAGAGCCTGCTTGCTGCTACGACTGCATTCCTTGTCCTGAGGGGACCATCTCCATCCATGAAGGTGGGGGACACCAAGGGAAAGGAGAGGCCTTGTGGAAGTGGATTCATCTGAAACACTGTCATAAAAGTGCAAGTTAAAAGATAGATTAAAGCTCAATTGCTTTTTTAAATTTTGTCACCAGTCTGCTAGTTCGATTCTCACGGCTGAAGCTTGACTCAGTCTTCCATCCTTCTGAGATTGGTGAAATGGGGACCCAGATTGTAACTGGGTCTGTAAACTGCTTAGAGAGGGCTGTAAAGCATTGTGAAGTCACATATAAATCTAAGCACTATTGGTATTGTTAGAGAAAAATTATTTCTCTATAGCTGTGCCTATTAATGGCTTTTGGAATGTACAGATGTGTGGGCCAATCAGAGGGCAGCTAATATGTTTTGAATCTCCAGGGCCCTCCCCTAACTGTCACAGTTAACAGTAAAAAAAGGTGATTCTTAACAGAAACTTTTGCTCTTTTCAGTTTGGTATTCAGTTTGATCTTCTGTCTAGTATTGTACTGTATTCTAGGATCTTCCTTTAGATAACTGTGAGCAGTCTGGTTTATTGATTTATTAACCTCCACAACAGGTATCTTCAAATTGCACAATTTCTTACTAGAAGTAGGAATAGCAGAAAATCCTTGAGGGAGGTGGGCTAAGAAGAGATAGGAGGGTATAGGAGATTGGACAAGCTTCTCTACTGCAAGAAAAAAATATTTCTTCTGCTTTTTATTTTGGATTCCAGATTATTTGCAGAACTAACCTTTTTTTCTAGCTAATTCAATTTCAAAAGGTAGGCATCCAGAGTCAAGTATATTAAGTGCCATCTGGCAGGATCCAGGAAATGTGACTAGAAAGATTAACTGATTCATTATCTACCTCTAATCATGTAGGTTCTGCAAATTACGCAAGAAATCATTGGTTCCAGGACCTCGTCTAATTTCATAAACTATAAAAATATAGCTGTTTTTTTTTTTTTTAAGAAAATGATATTTTTCTTACCTTCTTTCTGTAGAGATTTTAAGCAATGCTTCTCATAAAATGCTGCTGGTAACAAATTTTGTCTAATTTCAAGAAATACCAAGAAGGTATTTCTTGAAATTAGGAGGTACAGAATATTTTTTACAAATATTGCTTTTTGATTTACTCAGATACAGAAAAATGTACCAAATGTCCAGATGAAAAATATCCAAATGAGGACAGAATCCAATGTATTCCCAAAGTTATTTCCTTCCTTTCTTATGAAGAACATCTGGGAATCATTCTGGTCACTTTTGCCCTATTCTTGTTCTTAGCCACAGGACTCGTTTTAATTATATTCATTAAACATCAGGAAACTCCCATTGTGAAAGCCAACAACCGAGACCTCTCTTACATCCTCCTGTCTTCCCTCCTACTTTGCTTTCTGTCTCCTTTTCTCTTCATTGGTCAACCAAGGAAAGCCACCTGCCTTCTCCGACAAACAGTTTTCAGCATCACCTTCTCAGTTGCCGTTTCTTCTCTCTTGGCCAAAACCATCACAGTGGTGCTGGCTTTCCTGGCCACAAAACCAGGAAACCGAGTGAAGAGATGGTTGGGGAAGAGCTTGGCCAACTCCATCATCCTTTCTTGTTCTAGTGTCCAAATTATGATCTGCTCCATCTGGTTGGGAATTTCTCCCCCATTCTGTGACTCAGACTTTCACTCCCAGCCTGGGGAGATCATCCTGCAATGCAATGAAGGCTCTGTTTTCATGTTCTACATCACCCTCAGCTATATGGGCTTCCTGGCTGCCATCTGCTTCACAGTGGCTTTCCTGGCCAGGAATCTCCCTGGAGCCTTCAATGAAGCCAAGCTGATCACCTTCAGCATGCTGGTCTTCTGCAATGTCTGGGTCTCCTTCCTGCCCACCTACCTGAGCACCAAGGGGAAATACATGGTGGCTGTGCAGGTATTCTCCATCTTGGCCTCCAGTGCTGGTCTGCTTGGCTGCATCTTCATCCCCAAGTGCTACATTATCATTCTGAGGCCAGACGTGAATACAAAGGAGCATCTTACGACCAGAAGAAATGTATAAATGTGAGTTAGAAGAATTGCCACTCTCAACATTTTCCAACAGGCCATGCATAGAAATTGTTTCAAGCTGTGCCCCGTACATGAGCTGGGACAACAATTTTGAGCTGAAATAATCAAAGGGCAATTGGGAGGTAGTGTCCTCCATCCTTCGGTATAATTGCAAGATGTGGATAATCTAGGAGATGAAATACAGCCGTGGAAGTGTTTTACAAAACAATTCCTAAAGAATCGAGAGTATCCATATTCAAGTGTCCCATAGATATAGTGTAAGGGAGGGAAGGAGGTCGGATTGGGTATAAATATGTTATGTTATCATGGCTGTATCTTTTTAGCACTCAATAAATTCTCAGCCTTCCTCATCCCTTCTTGGACCTGGATAAAGATGTAGCATTTAAGGACTGGGCCACAATCTGCACGTTTAACCAATGTGGAGAAAGTCTGTTTTTGCTGACGTTCCTGCAGAAAAAATGTAGTAATATGGTCAGGTTTTGTATGGTGTCTTTTGTTATTCTGATGTTTTGGAGATAAACTGTTAGTCTTATATTTGTGCCAATTTTCTTTTAACCATGTATCTGATTAACTAGTTTTCAGAGGTTTGATGTTATTTATTTATTTTTAACTCTAATTGTTGATTTTTAAAAATTTGTTTTTCTTCTCTGTGTTCTCCTTTGAATGATGTATTTTGTTGACAGCTGGTTCTAAATGTAGCTCATCTAATCTTTAATTTACAACCTTGCACAGAACAGTGGATTGAATTAAACTCCACCAGGTCTCTTTCACATCTGTGGCTCCAGTTATAATCTTTTTTGCTTTATTGCATCCCAGGACTTTTTCTTACTTAAGCAGCATACCAATTTGGGTGCAGGGGTTGACAAAAAAATAAGTAGGGAAAAAGCAATAACGTTTAAAAAATATTAAGTAGTCTAAATGGTCAAAAAAGTATCAAAACTGTCAAAAAAATCAATAAATACCTTCCAATATTCTTCACAGCAGTTGTAAGTAAAATTATATTTAACCTCTCTCTTCCTAAAGTTACATTGTGACTCTTTTTATCTATACTTTCCTGTGTATGAAATTCATAAATCACAACTTTATTTTCTTCATTGTTACACAAAAAATCCATAAGGAGCTTCCAGTCATCACAATATGTAAATGTTACCCTTTCTCTATTCAAAGTAGTCAGTTTGTCCATCTCAGGAAGTTCTGTCAATTTCACAAGCCATTCCTCCCTGCTGGGTAGTTCTGAATGTTTCCTTGTGCATTGAATAATCTCACCACAATAATCACATATTAAAACAATGTTCCATGGTATTTTCCTAACTGCTCATCCATCAATCCTCAAATAAAATATTGAATATTTATCTTTAACATCCTCTGTATTCGAAAACATTTTAAATCCTTTTTACATGTGCACCGAGCATAATAAAATGTCCCATCACATTTTTCACATTTCCAACTCTACAAAGCTTTTCAGTAAAAGAGTCCATGATGTAATATCTGGAAATCTGTTTTACTCAAATTGGTCTGAGAACCTTTATCAATGTAATTTCTCTCATTTTCGTCCTCAGTGCTCCTCCTCTTACTATTAAGCTGTTTCCCAAACTGAAGCAGGTAGAAAGAGCAAAATGTTCAGAACCCTTAAAAAACCAAAACCGTGAGGTAATTCTGGATCTCATTTGTAACTTTTAACTATGGTTTGTTTTCTGAAGTCAAAACCTATTGGCTGATGGGTCACTGGAGCCCTGAAGTACATTCATTAAATCAAGTCAAGCTAAACAATAGTTTGTAACTGAAATAACCATGGACTTTTTTCTTCCTGCAAGGGGGACATTCACACAACAGACTTCACTAGATCAGGGAAAATTCTCATACGAGAAGCAGACAAGAAGCAGGTCTAACTCCAGCCTCCTGAAAGACCGCAACAAACTACAAATGACAACAACCACCCTTCCTCCTCTCCCATGGGGAAAAACAATATATTGGCAAGGGCACATATCTGTCCAAAAAGGGGAATTCCTCCCATCTCAGGAGACCTAAACCCTGAGAGTAGAAGTTGAAGGCCAAACAGTGGGGAAACGTTCTCTCTTTCTCTCTTCCTCATTCAGGATGGACCTGCCTATCCCCTCAGCTCTCCCCTCTCACTCAAACCCCCAGTTCTTCATTCAAAGCCAAGCTGTACATGTCAAATGACAGTTCATTTCCATCTATTCTCCAGTAAGAAATGTAATCTCAACATTAAAACACCAAGAGAAACCAGGAAAACAGGTCTCTCAACTGTACCTCAAAGCACTTGTGTATGTGTTGGGGGAGGGGGTGTCACACATAGCCTGAGAGATGGGAATCTCAAATGGGGCCCATTCCATTAAGTGCATTCATAAAAGGAGCAAAAAGGCCACTATGTATTTCTAAACCAGTTTCTCGGTGGGTCTGGCAAGAAATCAGGTCACACCATACACAACGCTGTGAGCACCACCAGCAGCTCAGCTACAGACTTCACACCCACTCTTTATTTAATAAACTATGAAACTTCAAAATATAAAGGATTTCAATGTCTTCCATGAATATTGGAGGTCAACAAGAGAGCCAAGGAAAATAAACGTTTCTATCCCTTCTATAAATTTCTCGCTATTTATCCAAGAATACAGTCTATAGACTGTCACTTTCCTTCCTCTTAGTCAGCTCTCATCCCACAAATTATACTTCTAGAACAGATGGAAATGAAATCTCACTTCAGGCGCGAGGAATTTTAAAATCACTTCCAAATTTGGATTAATATCTGGAGGAGTCATAGAAAAGAAGATCACAAAGAAGACCTCCTCTTAACGTTAGGCAGGTTTCAAGGGTGTAGAAGGTTTCAGAGAGCACTAGAGTTACGGGTCAAGAACCTAGACTCCCACCAAACTGCATAGCTGCAGGTGATAGCTGGATAGCTCTAGCAATATCTGGAGACCATATGCCAACAATGGCGGACAGAAGTCTATTCCCCAGGTATTAAAGCATCTTCCTCCAGCATCACTTTCTGGACATGTCCTGACAGGAAGGATAACAACCATTGTAGAAAAGTGTCTCCAGGGGTGTATCTGCAACATTTTACAAGAATCCTTTTCTCCAGATGCCCCTCAGTACGTGGAGCCCTGGCAGAGGACAAATTATCACTCACAGTAATTATCACAGTCCCAGACTTTGAGATGTCTACTGCAACTTTTCCAGTGTTTGCCTTTGATAGAACATCAGACTGAAGCAACATGGAATGGATCTTGCATCAGAAAAAGATGTAAGCCTCTACTCAAGCTGAATGGTTTACACAAGATTTAGGACACGGGCAGGGGCTGTGCTGCTGAATGTACCTTTCTCTCTTTTCCAGATAAAGCTCAGTTTGTTTCTGTTTGAAAAAGGAAAGCCACTCGACATTCTATTTTCTAAGCCTGCTTTGAAATCATCTAACTCTTCTTTGGACACAGGCAATTGATTCAGCTTCATGAATTATGGATCTCCTACTTCTGCTTTCAATGCTACAGGTGTCCCAGCCAGTCTCTGGGAAGCTTAGAATGAAGTGTCCACTGAATATGGTGCACCTGGATAGCGAAAGACCATGGAGTTACTACAGGCAAGGAGACCATCTCATCGGTATAGTCACCAGTGCAGTAACAATAAAACAGAAAATGTTGTTTTTCAACCTGCTTCCTTATAGCCGATCTCAATTGTAAGTTATTCATTGTGATGAAATTCCATCTGCAGTTCTAACACTCATTCTTTTCTCCTTATTCTGCTTATTCCTCTATTTCAGGAAGTGATTACTTTTGTTGATTGATCAGATTTCCATGGGTTTCCTCTTTTCTCTTATTTAGGGGAAGAGACACAAATACAAAGATGGAGCAGAAAAAAATACCTGAAAGAAGTCCACATTATTTTTCTCTCCAAGTCCAATCTAGAATATATGACTTAAATATTGACTTTTGCTTAAAGCAGTGATTGTTGTAGTTAACCTTGATCAGCTTATTTCCATATTTTTATAACTGCTCGTTGATATTCAACGCCTGATCCTTAAAGGAATATAGGATGACTTGTTTTTAGAACAGCTTTTTTGGGTCACTTAAGAAATAGCCCCTTCCTTTTATTATGATTAAACTTTAAAACATGAATTGTTTTGCAGACTGGGTACTGTGCTGATGAAAATTGCGGTTGCTATAAATAATAGAGTATTTGTGATTCTTAACTGCTTCCCATTTCCTCAACATTTACAAATTTTAAATATTGATGAGTAACTATCATTTGCCTCTGGTTTTTGATTAGTATTGACCTCAGACTCTATAGTCTTGTGTTGATAAAGAGAATGAAATTGGAAAAAAAGTATTGTATCACTGCTGTTGATGATGCTTGTATTAACCAAAGCATTTTTTACTCTAGTATACCTTATGCTTCTAAAGGAATAGAACGCTTTATTTTCACGATTCAAGAGATCAACAAGATTATCCAGCTCCTGTGCAATCTCACACTTGGCTACAATATCCATGACAACTATTTGAACACACTTGGCACTTCAGAAGTCTTGCTGGACATGCTCTCTACTGGAGAAGCCAATGTTCCCAACTACAGCTGTGGAAGGAAGGACAACATTTTGGCTCTTCTTGATGCAGCTGACAGGGAGTTTTCCATCCAGATGTCAACATTAGTAGGCCCCTACAAAGTCCCACAGGTTTGTGTGTGTGTTTCTCTATAAAGTCAAGTGAGGGGGGTGGGTAGTGGGTGCAGGATAATTCCATCCATATTTTCTCTATGGAACTCAAGACCTGCTTTTCACTATGTCCATTATAAGAACTGGAAACTGGAATACACATTAGAAAAGGAGCATGTATCAAAATAGTCATATTCTTTCATGTTACCAACTCTTGCTTCAAAGGCATCTGCTGCATACTTGTGAAGGTGAGGAGAGGCTCTGTGTCCAATCAAAGGGTCTTCTGTAAAATAGAAAGGTGCAGCACTGATGGAAAGCTCACATTTTGTACATGATCTTAGAAAAATGATGATAATGCTGAACAAATGCCATATTCATAAAAATAATTGTGAAAAAAGATGATTTGCATCCATCAGAGAAAGGGACTGAATTACTTGGCATTACATTCACAGATTTTTCTGGAAAAATGTTTAAACTAAACAATGGGGATAGAGAATTTATTGATATAGAACACTTTTGTCCCCAGCAATCTAAAACTAATCAATGCCTGTAGCATAGATGTTTGTGTGGGTAAGAATCTCAACCTTACTCTCAAGGTAAATCAAGCTTTTGATAGTTTGAGGTATGCCATGTACGCTAATAAAACAGGTGGTAAGGAAGTAGGGGAATTAAGGCCTGAAACGGGCTATGTAGAAAGTAAACACAGGGTCAATTAAAAAGGACTTAAATGTCTGTACCCTAATATAGAGTGTATGAGGAATAAATGGGGTGAATTAGAAATTCAAATAAAGGGGGGCAGATATGATATTGTTGCCATTATGAAAACCTGGAGGGATGAAATCCAAAACTGAAATACACAGCTAGAGGGGTTTAAATTATTTAAAAGAAACAGACCAAATAAAAGAGTCGGTGGAGTTGCACTATACATGAGAAATAACTAAATGTCTTCAGAAATAAAACACAAGAATGATGAAAACTGTCTTAAATGCATTTGGGTCAATATAAAAGGGGGGGGGAATGGCACTGCCATAGGTGTATATGGCCACCCAACCAAACAGAGAAAACAGATGAACTTTTTGCTAGTCAGTTAACTAAGTATATAGTTAGCACATCAAAATAGTAATGGGGGACTTTAACTACCCTGACAAAATCCAGGAGACAAACTCTGCACCAAGTGGAAGACAAACAGGTTCCTGACAAACCTAGCAAACAACTTTGACTCTCAAAAAGTAGAAAAGGGAACTAGCGGATCAGCCATATTGCACTCAATGAAATGATAGAAGGTATCCAAGCAACAGGAACCTTGGGAGGGAGTGATTGTGCAATATTGGAATTCAATATTATGCAAGCACAAGCAATAGAATAAAGTCAAACTAGAGTCTTGGACTTTAAGAGAGCTAATTTCAATAAACTTAGAGAGAGGTTGGATAGGATTGCATGAATGACAACCGTCAAAGGGAAAACAACCCAAGTAGCTTGGGAAATTTTGAAAAGTGAGATTATAAAAGCCCAGTCTAGCACAATAGCAAAGAAGAAGAAAAATAACAGCTCTCAAAAGAAACCAGCATGGCTGCATAAAAAAAAAAAACTCTTTGATAAATTGAAAGACAAAAAGGACAAGTATAAAAAGAGGAGCACAAATTTAAGGCAGCATATCAGCAAATAGCCCGAGCATTCAAAGACAAAGGGAGGAAAGTGAAGGCTCAAAACAAACTAAGGCTTGCAACAAAACTCAACAACAACAACAACAACAAAGCTTTTTTCAACATGTAAAATCAATAAAAAAAAAGTCAAGGAAATGATTGATCCATGAATGGGAGAAAGTGGCAAGAAGATGACAAGCAACAGGGAGAAAGCAGAACATTTTTTTGCACAAAAGGAAAGGGAAAAAAACAGTCCAACCTATCAAAAGCACCACCGGAAAAAGCTCAGTAGTAATAACTGTGAGAGGGATCTTGGAGTCCTGGATGGAAACTAATCAAGGAGACAAGCAACCCAGAATTAAGAGAAATTTCCTGACAGTTAGAACAATTAATCACTAGAATAACTTGTCTCCAGATGTTGTAAAGAAGCTCCAACACCAGATGTTTTTAAGAAGATAACCATTTGTCTGAAATCATCTAGGGTTTCCTGCCTGAGCAGGGGGTTGGTCTAGAAGACCTCCAAGGTCCCTTCCAACTCTGTGATTCTGTTAATTCCAATCTTATCTACTGTGGATAATCTGTTTTATAGCCTCATAGTGACCACTATCAGTAATTAATCACATTATTTAAAATAATTACATGCATATTAGCCAAAATATCAACTCTTTTTCCCTCTTGTATTTAGAATCAAATTCATCATAAAAGCTTGAAGAGCAACAGAGCCCACAGAGACAATTTTCTTGCCACCTGTCTCACTGCAAAGTGACTCTGAGCAACTAACAATATTAAAAACTACAGTAAAACACACTTGTAATAGTACTAAAAATACAAATTACAAGCTATACTTAAAAAATGGGGGTGAGGAGGGAGTAGGATGAGCAGGCTTGGAGGTGGGATCTGCTATTGATCAATCAGCCACCTCCAATGTGACACTCCCCCCATTGGGGCCACAAGCCAACTATTCATGTCAGGTCTCCAGGCTCTCGCAGAAGCTCAGGAGAGCTGGAACTGAGCTCACTCTGGGGAACAAGATGTTCCTAAGGGCAGGAGCAATGGCAGAGGACGTTCTTCTCCTGGACCCAGCCAACCAGAATTCCCTGACTGCAGCATGCCTCCTCTGCTGGCACAGATGGAGTGTGAAATTTCCAAAAGTTGACATGGGGCTGGCCAATTCTTTGGAGTGAGATGGTTCCTCAAGCTTTTGAATTTGACTATCCAATCACACTCTGAGTGTAGTTCTCCATGGAACTGCATTTACATGCAGGGAGGGAAGAAGGCAGAGTGGTAACCCAAGATTCTGTCTTAGGCCCAGTGTTCTTCAACATCTTCACAAAAGATCTAGATGAGGATAAAGAAGGGGATTAAAAATGATAAATTTCATCAAACCCGAGGGAAATTGCTAACTATTTGTTTGTTTGTTTGTTTGTTTGTTTGTTTGTTTGTTTGTTTGTTTGTTTGTTTGTTTATTTATTTATTTATTTATTTATTTATTTATTTATTTATTTATTTATTTATTCAATTCATATGCCGCCCTATCTCCGTGGACTCAGGGCGGCTCACAACAATAAAAATGCATAATCCCACATTAAAACAGTAAAAATTTAAAAATCGAATTTAAAACAATTAAAATTAATTTAAAAATCCCAGTCAGTCCAAACTGTGAAACAACCAAGTCTTCAAATCACGGCGGAACGAGCGAAGGTCAGGAGCCATCCGGAGCTTCAAAGGAAGTTGGTTCCAGAGGGTGGGTGCGCCCACAGAGAAAGCTCTCCCCCTGGGGGTCGCCAGCCGACACTGTCTGGCCAACGGCACCCTGAGGAGGCCTTGTCTATGGGAACGCACCTGGAGGGGGTCCGACAAATATCCTGGGCCTAGGTCATGAAGGGCTTTATAGGTTTGAAATACTTCCACTCTGGAAGGTGGACTCAAGACTCAGAAGCATCTTGACAGACTTAAACACTGGGCCCTATCCAATGAAATGCAGTACTCAATGGTGAGAAAAGCAAAGTCCTATTCCTAGAGAAGAAATACTAAATGCACAGTTATAGAATAGTTGATACCTGGCTGAGCAGTAGCAACTGTGAGAGAAATCTAGGTGTCCAATTGGACAATGGCTTAAATAGGAGGCACCAGTATGTTGCAGCTGCCAAAAAAGCCAATGCAGATCTAGGCTGAATCAATAGAGGGATGGGATCAAATTGATAGAGGAGAATATTTGTAGCTCGGTGTTGAAGTATCGGTTTCTTTAACTTTCTGAGCTTGGTTATTTCCTTGCAGAACTTTTATTACCCAAACTAGGTAAGATCATCAGTGCTAGTAAGTAGTGTGAGGTATGCTCTCAAGTTTATCTTCTAATGATTTGCCCTGTAAGCACTGGTGGGAATGGCCTTGGAGGTCTTTTGCTTGGACTGTTTGTTTGTTTGGCAGTTCCTTGGTTGGGATATTGTTTACTTCTTGATTGTTGGTCTGATGTTAACAGACATTAACAAACATCATGTTAATCAACATCAATTAACTTTAATTTTTGGTGTAAATTGAAAGCTATGGAAATTACAGACTCCCAAAATTGCGTCTATTAGAACAGGCAAAATTTCAATTAGAAACCTCTTGGCTTATACAACTGACAAATTATATGAGGAATTATGGTCTTCCTGTCTCTTGTACAATATGAGAAGAAAGTAAAAAAATAATGGCTTCACAAAGAATCTTAAATGTAGAAGCAGAGAATGATGTAGCAATCTTCAAAAACTAAACATAATATGACCCTTTATTGAAACAATATACTTCAGTTAACATCTGCACATGTGAGTCTAACTGCATTAAATTATAGCGGTGATAGAGAAATATGATTTTTTTTAAATTTGATTTATATGCCGCCCTTCTCTGGAGACTCAGAGCGGCTTACAATGTGCTCAGCAATTTGCATTTTGATTGTTGTTTTTCTGCTTAATTTGCTTCTCATGTTACATTTTTATATGAAGCCTTCTTAATATTCTGTATTTAATATTTTAAACTATGGCTAATCAACGATCTATTCTAAGATGAAGTTGGATTGATTAAAAACTCATATTTTGGACTTGACCTATATTACAGGCCAAGTTATAACAGGATTATAACACAGCATTCTCCATTGCTTTTCCAGATTAGTCAAAGAATGGCTTCAAAGACTCTGAGTGATAAAAGTAATTTCCCTTTTTTCCACCGGATGCTCCCCAAAGAAGGGTTTCAGTATTCAGCAATTGTCCGAGTGCTCCTCCATTTCAGATGGACCTTGATTGGTCTCCTTGCTCCAGACACAGAGGAGGGAGATAATTTCCTGAGGACTTTTCCTCCTTTGCTTCTCAGGAATGGAATTTGTGTTGTTATATCAAAAGAATTCACAATGACTGGACTTCCAGCACCCTTCAGGGATTCCAGCTTTTCTCAGTGGAAACAAGTCAATGTCTTTGTTCACTTCACAGAACACATTATTGTTTCAAGCACTTTTCATACTTTTCATCTAACATTTGACATTTTGTCAGGACCCATCAGAGAGAAAATCTGGATCACCACAACTTTGGGAAACTATATAGTGAGTCATCTTGGATATCACAGATATATCCATAGTATTTGGAGCTTTGAATTTATGCAAAAATTAAGTTCAGAATATGGTGCTTTTGAACCCTTTTCCTTTTTAGACTCCCAGTATGAAGGCAAGAATTTTCAGTGCTCTTTTCCAAAGCATGTTTTTTCTGTCAAAGGCCGGAAAAGATGCACCCAAAAAACTCCAGTGGAGACAGAAGATGATTTCAATGGGATATTCGTTGAAAACAGTGACTCTGTTTACCTTATCTTTATGACTCTGGCCCATGTCTTGAAGGCTGCATATTCATCCAGATCCTGGAGGAGAAGGAAGGAGACCCAAGAGACACTGGAGGCTCCAAGGCTGCAACCGTGGCAGGTATGGGGTCCCAACAAGGATCCAACTAAACTAAATTCCTCTGGAGAAGGAATCCATTAGAGAAAGAGAGGAATCATACCAACCTCCTTGTGCTACAAAAGACCAGTAGATTTGGCCAATCTAGTTCCTGGGGGTGGGGAGCTGGTAGCAGATATAGTTTGATATTAAACACATCTAATTGTAAAAGGGTGATTGCACCTTTAACAATATTCCATTCTGTAGGGTTTGTGATGAGCACTGTAGAATTTTACTTTTATAAATTTGAAGGAGACCCCGAGAACAACAGATGGCCTGAGCCTCAGCTGGGTTCTATTTTCCCCAGTGTGAGTGGCTCATGAATCATGCTGGATGAGGAAGGCAACTTTCAGTTGTTTATCCTTGCAGAATAGAGAGTTTCACGCTTGGGACAGAGGTCCATTTCAAGTATTCTGAATAAACGTTACCTCAGAACTTGATACAAAATTTTCCTTTGTTGTTTACAACATGTCAACCTTTGTGATTTCTTTCACAAGATCAGAGTTCATCCTTTGTGGTACAGGATTACATTTGTTGCATTTAGTACAAGAGAGAAAAAACTTTCTAACCTTATTATTTTCAGGCATTTCTTGCTGCTTGTAGTTTGTCAGTTTTGCAAGCACCTAGATATCCTGGTTGGTAGTTTAATCCACTCTAACTTTTGGTGGCTTCTTTCTATATAATTTGATCCCTTCCTGGCTCAGTTGGTGTTGAAACATTATTTGAAACCTTTTTTTCATCAATAGGATTCTTTTCCTATAGAAGTTATTGTTTTTCCTCCTCCTCTAGGATTCAAAGGGGACTTTCCAGTGGTGAAATCCATTTTTTTTACTACCGGTTCTGTGAGCGTGGTTTGGTGAGCATGTTGTGGTTTTGTGGGCGTGGCTTGGTGGCATGGTGGGAGAAGGATACTGCAAAATCCCCATTCCCTCCCCACTCCTGGGAGAAGGATATTCCAAAATCTCCATTCCCACCCCACTCTGGGGACAGCCAGAGGTGGTATTTGCCGGTTCTCCGAACTGCTCAAAATTTCCGCTACTGGTTCTCCGAACTGCTCAAAATTTCCGCTACCAGTTCTCCAGAACCTGCTGGATTTCACCTCTGGGACTTTCCCTATTGAAGGATTCCTTTGTTTTATATTCTTCTTCATTTTATATTCTTAAACTGTCACCAAGCTATCATAGCCTAACCCTCTTCTCTACAGAAATCCCAGTTAAACATTCTCAGTCTCTGCATTCAGCTAATCAGTAAAGTGGAGACTGAACTTCTCTGGTTCACTTGTGAAGATATTTTTTTCCTTCAATTCAGCCAGAATATCATCACTGTGTTTATTTTATCATGCTCCAGACTTTGATATAACTGTGAACAGATCTTAAGCTTCTGTGTAACATCTTTCAGTTTGGGAAGAGTGCTCTATCCTTCCCCTCTCCAGTTAAAACACTATTTAAAAAGATGCTTTTGGGTAATGAACCTTTAACTTCAAGGAGTTTATGAATGTTTTGTTTTGCTGTTCAATTTATTTGATACCCGCTGTAGAATGTTCCCTATAATTGATCCAATGTGTTCATTACATTTTCTCAATCCATATTTTTTCAATATACCATTGACAAATTTTGCTGAACCTTTCTTGTTCACTTATGAACTTAGTTGTAACACCTATTGACGTAATAAAGCATGTGGGCACATTAAAAAAAACCGTAGAAGAAAAAGTCATACATGAAAATAGCAGGTGGGATAACAAACCAAGGTTTCTGCTTTTAAAATTCCTGGATGTTTCCATTCTAGTTCCATCCCTTTTTGGAGAAGAATGACTTCTACAATCTTTCCCACTGGAATCTTTACATGGACCATAATGGAGAAATAGCTGCAGATATGGACATCGAGTTCTTGGTGATTTCGCCTGAGGGGGATTTGATCCAAAGGAAACTTGGGAATATTGAAAGACAGAGAATTATTATTAACAAAATTGCTCTTTCATGGATAAATCAGCTCAACAAGGTGGGTCAAATATTGCTGTGTTTTCTCTTTTTTTCTAAAGATTATGACCCATTTCAAGTGGGCTAATGCTAATCACCATGGTGGATGACCCTCACTGGGAGTTGAATGTACAGAAGAGAAAAGTGAACATTTTGTTAGATGGATTGTGGAGACTTCAGTACTATTCACAAAGGTGTCCTTCAGGTGCCATGATAAAGAATATTCTTTTAAACTGATTCAGTCTTGTCCAATATTGGATGCTGGATAATTATTCTTTAGGATGGAGATCAGCTGGTGAAAAATATTCAAGTGCTGGCATTTGTGTTCCTAATAACCTCAGGTTCTTTTAACCAGCATCTGCATTAAGGTTTGGCTGAATTGAGGAAAGAGACACACAAATAAAGAAAGCCCTAATTTTTAAGGATTTTTTCCCCCTTTATATCATAATTGGAGGGTGGTTTTGGACTCCTTTCAAAGGGAAGCAATTTTGCAATGTTTTATATACTCCAGAAGAAGCCTATCCAGATCCTACTGATCTGAAGTTGGTTTCTTCATTACAGTTTTGTTTTACTTAATAAATCTAATATGAACATTAATAAATCTTTTATAATAATCTTTTCCAAAATTGAATGCAAGATCATAAGACTGTACATTAAAATCACAGTTATGTGAAGAATGGAGAAATGCATGTTAACAAGGCTAAGAGGAGGAACCAAACTGGTTGTCACTTAAGGCTGAAATCTTTTCAATTCCATCTCTCCAGTCTTTTTAAAGAGAAAAATCCTTTATTTCAACGTATGATATCAAAAGCCAAGGGGAGAGAGTAAATGAACAATCTGCCAGTAGTTATTTCTCCTAAATCTGATTGGAATGAGTCGAAGATTTCATATTTATCTAATTGAAGCCCAGGAACTATTTGGCTAATGTTAATCCCTTCATCCATTTTCATGTAAACTTCATCCCAATCTATTTTCTTTGGCATTTCTTCTTCTGCTGCTTAGTCTCTGCCTCAGTCCCAATGTGTGGAAAGTTGTCATCCTGGGTTTGTCAAGCGGAAGCGAGAAGGAGAGCCTGCTTGCTGCTACGACTGCATTCCTTGTCCTGAGGGGACCATCTCCATCCATGAAGGTGGGGGACACCAAGGGAAAGGAGAGGCCTTGTGGAAGTGGATTCATCTGAAACACTGTCATAAAAGTGCAAGTTAAAAGATAGATTGAAGCTCAATTGCTTTTTTAAATTTTGTCACCAGTCTGCTAGTTCGATTCTCACGGCTGAAGCTTGACTCAGTCTTCCATCCTTCTGAGATTGGTGAAATGGGGACCCAGATTGTAACTGGGTCTGTAAACTGCTTAGAGAGGGCTGTAAAGCATTGTGAAGTCACATATAAATCTAAGCACTATTGGTATTGTTAGAGAAAAATTATTTCTCTATAGCTGTGCCTATTAATGGCTTTTGGAATGTACAGATGTGTGGGCCAATCAGAGGGCAGCTAATATGTTTTGAATCTCCAGGGCCCTCCCCTAACTGTCACAGTTAACAGTAAAAAAAGGTGATTCTTAACAGAAACTTTTGCTCTTTTCAGTTTGGTATTCAGTTTGATCTTCTGTCTAGTATTGTACTGTATTCTAGGATCTTCCTTTAGATAACTGTGAGCAGTCTGGTTTATTGATTTATTAACCTCCACAACAGGTATCTTCAAATTGCACAATTTCTTACTAGAAGTAGGAATAGCAGAAAATCCTTGAGGAAGGTGGGCTAAGAAGAGATAGGAGGGTATAGGAGATTGGACAAGCTTCTCTACTGCAAGAAAAAAAAATTTCTTCTGCTTTTTAATTTGGATTCCAGATTATTTGCAGAACTAACTTTTTTTTCTTGCTAATTCAATTTCAAAAGGTAGGCATCCAGAGTCAAGTATATTAGGAAGTGCCATCTGGCAGGATCCAGGAAATGTGACTAGAAAGATTAACTGATTCATTATCTACCTCTAATCATGTAGGTTCTGCAAATTACGCAAGAAATCATTGGTTCCAGGACCTCGTCTAATTTCATAAACTATAAAAATATAGCTGTTTTTTTTTCTTTAAGAAAATGATATTTTTCTTACCTTCTTTCTGTAGAGATTTTAAGCAATGCTTCTCAGAAAATGCTGCTGGTAACAAATTTTGTCTAATTTCAAGAAATACCAAGAAGGTATTTCTTGAAATTAAGAGGTACAGAATATTTTTTACAAATATTGCTTTTTGATTTACTCAGATACAGAAAAATGTACCAAATGTCCAGATGAAAAATATCCAAATGAGGACAGAATCCAATGTATTCCCAAAGTTATTTCTTTCCTTTCTTATGAAGAACATCTGGGAATCATTCTGGTCACTTTTGCCCTATTCTTGTTCTTAGCCACAGGACTCGTTTTAATTATATTCATTAAACATCAGGAAACTCCCATTGTGAAAGCCAACAACCGAGACCTCTCTTACATCCTCTTGGTTTCTCTCCTGCTTTGCTTCTTGTGTCCTTTTCTCTTCATTGGTCAACCAAGGAAAGCCACCTGCCTTCTCCGACAAACAATGTTCAGCATCACCTTCTCAGTTGCCATTTCTTCTCTCTTGGCCAAAACCATCACGGTGGTGCTGGCTTTCCTGGCCACAAAACCAGGAAACCGAGTGAAGAGATGGTTGGGGAAGAGCTTGGCCAACTCCATCATCCTTTCTTGTTCTAGTGTCCAAGTTATGATCTGCTCCATCTGGTTGGGAATTTCTCCCCCATTCTGTGACTCAGACTTTCACTCCCAGCCTGGAGAGATCATCCTGCAATGCAATGAAGGCTCTGTTTTCATGTTCTACATCACTCTCAGCTATATGGGCTTCCTGGCTGCCATCTGCTTCACAGTGGCTTTCCTGGCCAGGAATCTCCCTGGAGCCTTCAATGAAGCCAAGCTGATCACCTTCAGCATGCTGGTCTTCTGCAATGTCTGGGTCTCCTTCCTGCCCACCTACCTGAGCACCAAGGGGGAATACATGGTGGCTGTGCAGGTCTTCTCCATCTTGGCCTCCAGTGCTGGTCTGCTTGGCTGCATCTTCATCCCCAAGTGCTACATTATCATTCTGAGGCCAGACGTGAATACAAAGGAGCATCTTACGACCAGAAGAAATGTATAAATGTGAGTTAGAAGAATTGCCACTCTCAACATTTTCCAACAGGCCATGCATAGAAATTGTTTCAAGCTGTGCCCCGTACATGAGCTGGGACAACAATTTTGAGCTGAAATAATCAAAGGGCAATTGGAAGATAGTGTCCTCCATCCTTCGGTATAATTGCAAGATGTGGATAATCCAGGAGATGAACTACAGCCGTGGAAGTGTTTTACAAAACAATTCCTAAAGAATTGAGAGTATCCATATTCAAGTGTCCCATAGATATGGTGTAAGGGAGGGAGGGAGGTCGGATTGGGCATAAATATGTTATGTTATCATGGCTGTATCTTTTTAGCACTCAATAAATTCTCAGCCTTCCTCATCCCTTCTTGGACCTGGATAAAGATGTAGCATTTAAGGACTGGGCCACAATCTGCACCTTTAACCAATGTGGAGAAAGTCTGTTTTTGCTGACGTTCCTGCAGAAAAATGTAGTAATATGGTCAGGTTTTGTATAGTGTCTTTAGTTATTCTGATGTTTTGAAGAGAAACTGTTAGTCTTATATTTGTGCCAATTTTCTTTAAACCATGTATCTGATTAACTAGTTTTCAGAGGTTTGATGTTATTTATTTCTTTTTAACTCTAATTGTTGATTTTAAAAAATTTGTTTTTCTTCTCTGTGTTCTCCTTTGAATGATGTATTTTGTTGACAGCTGGTTCTAAATGTAGCTCATCTAATCTTTAATTTACAACCTTGCACAGAACAGTGGATTGAATTAAACTCCACCAGGTCTCTTTCACATCTGTGGCTCCAGTTATAATCTTTTTTGCTTTATTGCATCCCGGGACTTTTTCTTACTTAAGCAGCATACCTATTTGGGTGCAGGGGTTGGCAAATGTTTACAAAAAAGTAAGTAGGGAAAAAGCAATAATGTTTAAGAAATATTAAGTAGTCTAAATGGTCAAAAAAGTATCAAAACTGTCAAAAAAATCAACAAATACCTTCCAATATTCTTCACAGCAGTTGTAAGTAAAATTATATTTAACCTCTCTCTTCCTAAAGTTACATTGTGACTCTTTTTATCTATACTTTCCTGTGTATGAAATTCATAAATCACAACTTTATTTTCTTCATTGTTACACAAAAAATCCATAAGGAGCTTCCAGTCATCACAATATGTAAATGTTACCCTTTCTCTATTCAAAGTAGTCAGTTTGTCCATCTCAGGAAGTTCTGTCAATTTCACAAGCCATTCCTCCCTGCTGGGTAATTCTGAATGTTTCCTTGTGCACTGAATAATCTCACCACAATAATCACATATTAAAACAATGTTCCATGGTATTTTCCTAACTGCTCATCCATCAATCCTCAAAGAAAATATTGAATATTTATCTTTAACATCCTCTGTATTCGAAAACATTTTAAACCCTTTTTACATGTGCACCGAGCATAATAAAATGTCCCATCACATTTTTCACATTTCCAACTCTACAAAGCTTTTCAATAAAAGAGTCCATGATGTAATATCTGGAAATCTGTTTTACTCAAATTGGTCTGAGAACCTTTATCAATGTAATTTCTCTCATTTTCGTCCTCAGTGCTCCTCCTCTTACTATTAAGCTGTTTCCCAAACTGAAGCAGGTAGAAAGAGCAAAATGTTCAGAACCCTTAAAAAACCAAAACCGTGAGGTAATTCTGGATCTCATTTGTAACTTTTAACTATGGTTTGTTTTCTGAAGTCAAAACCTATTGGCTGATGGGTCACTGGAGCCCTGAAGTACATTCAGTGAATCAAGTCAAGCTAAACAATAGTTTGTAACTGAAGTAACCATAGACTTTTTTCTTCCTGCAAGGGTGACATTCACAGAACAGACTTCACTAGATCAGGGAAAATTCTCATACGAGAAGCAGACAAGAAGCAGGTCTAACTCCAGTCTCCTGAGAGACCGCAACAAACCGCAAATGACAACAGCCACCCTTCCTCCTCTCCCGTGGGGAAAAACAATATATTGGCAAGGGCACATATCTGTCCAAAAAGGGGAATTCCTCCCATCTCAGGAGGCCCAAACCCTGAGAGTAGAAGTTGAAGGTCAAACAGTGGGGAAACTTTCTCTCTTTCTCTCTTCCTCATTTCAGGATGGACCTGCCTATGCCCTCAGCTCTCCCCTCTCATTCAAACCCCCAGTTCTTCATTCAAAGCCAAGCTGTACATATCAGATGACAGTTCATTTCCATCTATTCTCCAGTAAGAAATGTAATCTCAACATTAAAACACCAAGAGAAACCAGGAACACAGGTCTCCCAACTACACCTCAAAGCACTTGGGTGTGTGTGGGTTGGGGGAGGGGGTGTCACACATAGCCTGAGAGATGGGAATCTCAGATGAGGCCCATTCCATTAAGTGCATTCATAAAAGGAGCAAAAAGGCCACTATGTATTTCTAAACCAGTTTCTCGGTGGGTCTGGCAAGAAATCAGGTCACACCATACACAACGCTGTGAGCACCACCAGCAGCTCAGCTACAGACTTCACACCCACTCTTTATTTAATAAACTATGAAACTTCAAAATATAAAGGATTTCAATGTCTTCCATGAACATTGAAGGTCAACAAGAGAGTCAAGGAAAATAAACATTTCTATCCCTTCTATAAATTTCTCACTATTTACCCAAGAATACTGTCGCTTTCCTTCCTCTTAATCAACTCTCATCCAAATAATTATACTTTTAGAACAGATGGAAATGAAATCTCACTTCAGGCGTGAGGAATTTTAAAATCACTTCCAAATTTGGATTCATATCTGGAGACGTCATAGAAAAGAAAATCACAAAGAAGACCTCCTCTTAACGTTAGGCAGGTTTCAAGGGTGTAGAAGGTTTCAGAGAGCATTAGAGTTAAAGATCAAGAACCTAGACTCCCATCAAACTGCATAGCTCCTGGTAATAGCCGGATAGCTCTAGAATCTCTGGAGACCATATGCCAACAATGGCAGACAGAAGTCTATTCCCTAAGTATTAAAGCATCTTCCTCCAGCATCACTTTCTGGACATGTCCTGACAGGAAGGATAACAACCATTGTAGAAAAGTGTCTCCAGGGGTGTATCTGCAACATTTTACAAGAATCCTTTTCTCCAGATGCCCCTCAGTACGTGGAGCCCTGGCAGAGGACAAATTATCACTCACAGTAATTATCACAACCCCAGACTTTGAGATGTCTACTGCAACTTTTCCAGTGTCTGCCTTTGATAGAAGATCAGACTGAAGCAACATAGAATGGATCTTGCATCAGAAAAAGATGTAAGCCTCTACTCATGCTGGATGGTTTACACAAGATTTAGGACACAGGCAGGGGCTGTGCTGCTGAATGTACCTTTCCCTCTTTTCTAGATAAAGCTTATTCCACTTGACATTCCATTTTCTGAGAGTGCTTTGAAATCATCTAACTCTTCTTTGGAAACAGGTGATTGATTCAGCTCCATGAATTATGGACCTCTTGCTTCTGCTTTCAATGCTACTGGTGTCCCGGCCAGTCTCTGGGAAGCTTAGAATGAAGTGCCCATTGAATTCGGTCTGCCTGGATAGAGAAAGACCATGGAGCTACTACAGGCCAGGAGACCATCTCATCGGTATAGTCACCAGTGCAGTAACACTAAAACACCAAATGTTGTTTTTCAACCTGCTTCCTTATAGTCAGGCTTATTTGTAAGTTATTCAGTGTGATGAAATTGTATTTCTTCCATCTGCAGTTCTAAGACTCTCATTCTTTTCTCTTTGTTCTGCTTATTCCTCTATTTCAGGAAGTGATTACTTTTGTTGATTGATCAGATTTCCATGGGTTTCCTCTTTTCTCTTATTTAGGGGAAGAGACACAAATACAAAGATGGAGCAGAAAAAAATACCTGAAAGAAGTCCACATTATTTTCCTCTCCACGTCCAATCTAGAATATATGACTTGAATACTGACTCTTGTTTAAAGCAGTGATTGTTGTAGTTAACCTTGACCAGCTTATTTCCATATTTTTATAAGTGCTCGTTGATATTGAATGACTGATCCTTATAGGAATAGAGGATGACTTGATTTTAGAACAGCTTTTCTGGGTCACTTATCAGATATCCTCTTCCTTTTATGATGGTTGTACTTTTAAAAAGGAATTATTTTCCAGACTGGGTACTGTGCTGATGAAAAACACTGCTGCTATAAATAATAGACTATTTGTGATTCTTATCTGCTTCCCATTTTCTCAACATTTACAAATATTAAATGTTGAATGGGTGACTATCATTTGCCTCTTGGTTTCTATTAGTATTGACTTCAGACTCAAGAGTCTTGTGTTGATAAAGAGAATGAAATTGGGAAAAAAGGTATTGTATCACGGCTGTTGGTGATCCTTGTATTAACCAAAACATTTTTTTTACACTAGTATATCTTATGCTTCCAAAGGAATAGAACGATTTATTTTCACCATTCAAGAGATCAACAAGAATATCCAGCTCCTATGCAATCTCACGCTTGGCTACAATATCCATGACAACTATTTGAACACACTTGGCACTTCAGAAGTCTTGCTGGACATGCTCTCTACTGGAGAAGCCAATGTTCCCAACTACAGCTGTGGAAAGAAGGACAACATTTTGGCTCTTCTTGATGCAGCTGACAGGGAGTTTTCCATCCAGATGTCAACATTAGTAGGCACCTACAAAGTCTCACAGGTTTGTGTGTGTGTTTCTCTATATAGTAATGTGAGTTGGGTGACAGTGAGTGCATGAAAAATCCATCCATATCTTCTCTATGGAATTCAAGAGCTGCTTTTCACTATGTCTATTGTCGGTGTCATGGCCTACAACTGGGAACTGGGATACACATTAGGATGGGAGCATGTATCAAAAAAGTTATATCCTCTCATGATAGCATCTCTATTGCTTTGGGGAAAATTGCTATCACTTTGGAAGATGGACTCAAGATTCAGAAGGATCGTGACAGACTTAAGCACTGGGCCCTATCCAATGAAATGCAATTCTCAGTGGTGAAGAAAGTAAGGTCCTTTTCTTAGATAAGAAATACTAAATGCACAGTTATAGAATAGTTGATACCTGGCTGAGCAGTAGCAACTGTGAGAGAAATCTATGTGTCCTACTGGATCATGATTTAAATATGAGTCACCAGTATGCTGTAGCTGCAAAAAAAAACAAAAAAAACCTAACTCTAATAGAAGTAAATGTGAAAGGGATCTTGGAGTCTTAGTGGACAACCAGCTAAATATGAGCCAGCAGTGTGCAGCAGCAGCCAAAAAAGCCAATGCAATCCTAAATTGCATTAATAGAGGGATAGAGTAGAGATCAAGTGAGGTACTAATACCACTATATAAAGCCTTAGTAAGACCACATCTAGAATACTGCATCCAGTTTTGGTCATCACACTATAAAAAAAGATGTTAAAATTCTAGAAAAAGTGCAGGGAAGATCAACCAGGATGATTAGGGGACTGGAGGCTAAAATATACAATGAACTGTTGGAGGAAATGGGCATGGCTAATCTAGTGAAGAGAAGGACCAGGGAAGACATGATAGTGTTCCAATATTTTCCTATTTTCCAAAGCACCTGAAGGCCAGACAAGGAACAATGGATGGAAACTGAACAAGGAGAGATTCAAGCTAGAAATAAGGAGACATTTTCTGACAGTGAGAACAATCGACCAATGGAACAGAAGTTGCCTTCGGAAGTTGTGGGAGCTTCATCACAGGAAGCTTTCAAGAAGAGACTGGACTTCCATTTGTCAGAAATGGTATAGGGCATCCTGCTTGGGGAGCGGGTTTGAACTGAGAAGCCAATGAAGACCTAGGCTGCATCAATAGAAGGAGTGGGATAAAGTGATAAAGGAGAATATTTGTAGCTCAATGTTGAAATGAGGGTTTCTTGCTGCTTTCCTTGCAGACATTTCATTACCCAAACTAGGTAAGATCATCAGTGCTAGTAAGGAGTGGGGAATGCTCTCAATTTTATCTTCTAATGACTTTCCCTGTAAGAGCTGGTGGGAATGGACTTGGAGGGTTTTTGGTGGGCTGTTTACTGTTAGTTTGTTTGGCAATTCCTTGAGTGGGGTATTGTTTACTTCTGGGTTGTTGGTCTGTTGTTAATTAATATCAACTAACCAACATCATGTTAATCAACATCAATTAATATCATTAATTATTGGTGCAAAACAAAAGCTATGGAAACTACAGACTCCCCATATTGTGCCTGTTAGAACAGACAAAATTTCAACTAAAGACTTCTTGGCTTATACAACTGACAAATTATATGAGGAAATATAGTCTCCCTGTCTCTTGCACAACTGAAGAAGAAAGTAAAAAAGATTGCTGCACAAAGAATCTGAAATATAGAAGAAGAGAAAGATGTAGCAATCTTCCAAAGCTAAATATAATATGGCCTTTTATTGGAACAATATACTTCAGTTAACGTTTCCACATGTGAGTCTAACCGCATTAAATTAGAGGTGATCAAGAAATATGATTTGCGTTTGATTGTTATTCTTTTTTACTTAATTTGTTTCTTGTCTTCCATTTTTATATAAAGCCTTCTTAATATTCTGTTTAATATTTTAAACAATGGTAGTCAACAAACTATTCTAAGATGTTTATCAAAACAAAGTTGGATTTATTAAAAATGTCAGCATCTCAGAACTGACATAGAAAAGGGAGGAGAAGCCTGAACTTTTGCCTGCTAAATCCCTTTGAAGATTCGGTCTCCTCGGAGATGGGGAGGGGGGAGACATTCCTGTGACCTGATGAAGAAAGGAATCAGGAAAGTGACTTGGAAGATAGCCAATGAGAAGCAGAGAATTGGGGATCGGAAAGGGAGGGATTGGGGGGCAAAGGTCAGTACTGACCGTGAAGAGTCAGGATCAGGTTGCTGTGCTCGAATAAAGAGAAAATTTCCTTAAAGAGCGGCAGTTTGGAAGTTCATTTATTTTGAGATAGCATTGAAACCTGACAAAAAATTCATATTCTGGAGTTGACCTCACTCAAAATATAACACAGCATTTTTCATTGCTTTTCCAGATCAGTCATAGAATTGTTTCAGAGACTCTGAGTGATAAAAGTAAATTCCCTTTTTTCCACCGGATGCTCCTCAAAGAAGGGTTTCAGTATTCAGCAATTGTCCGAGTGCTCCTGCACTTCAGATGGACCTTGATTGGCCTCCTTGCTCCAGACACAGAGGAGGGAGATAATTTCCTGAGGACTTTTCCTCCTTTGCTTCTCAGGAATGGAATTTGTGTCGTTATAGCAAAAGAATTCTCAATGTCTGGACATCCAGCACCCTTCAGGGATTCCAGTTTTTCTCAGTGGAAACAAGTCAATGTCTTTGTTCACTTCACAGAACACATTATTGTTTCAAACACATTTCATACTTTTCATCTAACACTTGACATTTTGTCAGGACCCATCAGAGAGAAAGTCTGGATCACCACAACTTTGGGAAACTGTATAATGCATCATCTTGGATATCACAAATACATCCATAGTATTTGGAGCTTTGAATTTCTGCAAAAAATAAGCCCAAAACATGGTGCTTTTGAACCCTTTTCCTTTTTAGACTCCCAGTATGAACACAAAAATTTTCAGTGCTCTTTTCCAAAGCATGTTTTTTCTGTCAAAGGCCGGAAAAGATGCACCCAAAATTCTCTGGTGGAGACAGAAGATGATTTGAACGGGATGATGATCGAAAACAGTGACTCTGTTTACCTTATCTTTATGACTCTGGCCCATGTCTTGAAGGCTGCATATTCATCCAGATCCTGGAGGAGAAGGAAGGAGACCCAAGAGACACTGGAGGCTCCAAGGTTGCAGCCATGGCAGGTATGGGGTCCCAACAAGGATCCAACAAACTAAATTCCTCTGGAGAAGGAATTCATTAGGGAAAGAGGGGAATCAGATTGACCTCCGGGTGCTACAAAAGAGCAACAGATTTGTCCAATCTAGTTGCTGTTGGGGAGCTGGTAGCAGATATATATTTGATATTAAACACTTCTAATTTTAAAGGGGTGATTGCACCATTAACAATATTCCTGTATTCATACTATCCAGCTATCACGTAACGTGGTTCCTAATCATCCCATAACAAAATGATTTGCTAGTACATAGTCTTCAACCGATGGCCACAATTGAGCCCAAAACTATTGTTGCTAAGTGAAACAATTGTTAAGTGAATTTTCCCCATTTTATGGCCTCTCTTGCCACAGTTACCAAGTGAATTGCTGCAGTTGTTAAGTTAGTAGCAGGGTTGTTAAGTGAGTCTGGCTTCCCCATTGACTTTGCTTATCAGGAGATCACAAAAGAGGATCACATGGCCCTGGGATATAGCAACCGTCATAAATATGAACCAGTTTCCCTTCATTCAAATTTTGATCATGTGTCCCTGGGGATGCTGCAATGGTTGTAAGTGTGAAAACTTGTTATAAGTTACTTTTTTTCAGTGACATTTCAACTTTGAATGGTCACTAAATGAAGTGTTGTAAGTGAAGGGTAACCTGTGTTTTGCTGAAATCAAGTTATATCACCAGCATTCCCATAAACTGTTAAGGAACTGTAATAATACACAGAAATAACTTTGAGGAAAGGGGGAAGATAACCTGCATTCTCAGATAAACTGGGGGATCCCGCAGCTGCATAACAGGCAGCAAAAGAAACTCACAAAGGATCCTCCCTAAATTTTCAGGCTGGAAAATGAATTAGTGGAAGATATACACAAACTCTATACAAAGCTTATTTACTCAAAATAACTTAGTCTTTATCATTCAAAGGCTGTTAATGAACTGTCTTAACAGCCTACAAGAATTTTAAGATAAGGAAATCACAGTCTTACTAGAGTTGGCAGAAAGCCCAGAAGCAGTTTTGTAGACCCGAAAGAGAGTGAACTAAAGTTGTTCTCTACAGCTTGTTGCAAGCGGCGTTCTTTCTTAAATAGGCTAAGGGAGTGGCCAATTAGTCTAAATCCTTACTCTCGAGGAGACCTCCTCCTGAGGAACCACTCCTGCCTTTTGGCAGCTCTGCGTGCCCATGCATTAAGAAGAGGCTTCTCCTCTTCTTTTTTTAAATGTTTTATTGAAATTTATTATAATACAATCAGTCAGACAGTGTTGTTTTTCTACACAGGTTAGATTGAGTCTTCTTTTACATTTCATCATAATATAGTGTAATTTATATATGCATCTTAAAATTTATATTAACTTTTATCTATTTTTTATTTGATTGTCAATCCACCTGTACCAATCACGCCACACCGTATAATATTCTGAGTCTTCTTTCTTTTTTTTTCTTTTTTTCTTTTTTTTTTCTTTATTTTTATATGCTGCCCTTCTCCGGAGACTCAGGGCGGCTTACAATGCATTAAGTAATAGCCTTCATACTTTTGTATATTTTATACAATGTCAGCTTATTGCCCCCACCAACCGGGTCCTCATTTTACCTACCTTAGAAAGGATGGAAGGCTGAGTCGACCTTGAGCCTGGTGAGAATTGAACTCACAATAATTGCAGGCAACTGGATGTTAAATGCTGCCTTAGTAGGAGGCATTAGCCTCCTACTCCACTCAGACTCCTCATTTAATTTCTCATTTAATTCTAACATTAATTTGTTCATTTCGGCACATTCTAGAACCTTCTGAAAAGTATGTTCCTCTGATGGTGTGTCCTTTCCTTTCCAATATTGGGCATAGGCTATTCTTGCTGCAGTGAGAATATGTATGATTAAATATCTCCCCCCCCACCCATCCCATATTTCATCTTTAGTACTCGCAGGAGAAATGTTTCAGGTATCAATTCAATTTTTTCATTAGTTGATTCTTGTAGCCAATTTTGAATTTTTCTCCAATACCTCATCTTATTATTTATTATTTATTTATTTGTTTGTTTGTTTATTTATTTATTTATTTATTTATTACCTAAATAAATAAGTAAATGATAGACAGTTCGGGATTTTCATGTATTGTTTTCTTCTAATTTCGTCCCATACTTGTATTAATACTTCTCTTATCCTGTGCCTATGGAAGTATGTTTTGGTCTTTTTCTTTTAGTCCCACAAAAAGGCATGCCATCCTTTTTGTAAGTCATGCCCTTCCAAAATTAGAATTCTTTTGTTTCTTAGATTAATCCATTCCCTTATCCATACTAGGGTGGCCGCTTTATAATATACTTCCCATGCTGGGAGTCCAAAGCCTCCCCTACTTCTATTGTCTTGTAACGATCGCAAATTAATTCTTGTTTTTTTCCCAGCCCAAATAAATTTCCTAATAGTTTTGTTAATTTCTGTAAAAAAAAAAAATTATCTAAGATGACGGGTATCGTTTGGAATAGATATAATAATTTGGGCAGCATAGTCATCTTAATCGATGCTATCCTGCCCAAAAGTGATAGTTGCAATTTCTCCTATTTTTCCAAATCCTGTTTTATTTTTTTAATCAGAGGTATATAATTATCCTCTTTCAAGATTGAGCATCTTGCTGATATCCATATCCCTAAATATTTAATTTTTTTTTTACAATTTATAAGTCTAATTCCTTTTCTAATTCTTTTTTTTTTTTTTGCATTTCTGTCAGGTTTTTGACCAATATTTTTTTTTATTTTTTTTATTGAGTTTTAAACAGAGATATAAAGACAATACAAAAAATACAAAGACATTACAAAGACAAACAAGTTCCCACCACCAACCTACCCACACCAAACTTTACATATATGTTTTGATCATCATCAGAATATATATTGCTTTATAAGTTAATATATAAGTAATACATTGTCAATTTGGATGTTTTAGATTAGAAATAATCTTGCATCTCCTCTTTATTTATTTCCGGTTTTATTTTTTCTACCCTATTTTCTTTCATCTATATTTGTACTGATTTTCTTTTCTAGCCATTGATACCACTGGTGCCATACAAGATAGAATTCACTTTCTTCTTTATCTTGGAGTTCTAGTGTCAGTCTATCCATTTCGGCACATTCTGTTATCTTCGAGATTAGTTTGTCTTTGGTTGGGAGTTGATCTGATTTCCAATTTTGCGCAAACAGTAACCGTGCTGCTGTCAAGATGTGTATGATGAGGTATTTTGTCTCTTTGTTGTGTTGTGTTGTTATCATTCCAAATAAAAAAAATTCTGGAGTGTTTTCTACTTGTTGGTTTATTATTTCTTCAATAATTTCCTTTGTGTCCTTCCAGTATTGTTGGGCCTTTGTACATTTCCACCAGGCATGGTAGTATGTCCCCTTTTTTGTTTTGCACTTCCAACAGCATGGGGAGGTGTTTGGGTATATTTTGGCTAGTCTGGCTGGTGTTAGGTGCCATCTGTAAAACATTTTTATGAGGTTTTCTTTATAGGGTATGGCTCTTGTCATTTTGATGTTCTGTTTCCACAATTTCTCCCAGTTTGCCAGTTGAATGTTGTGCCCTATGTCCCTGGCCCATCTTATCATATTTTCTTTTACTGTTTCTTCCAGTAATTTATATCTAAGTAAGTAGTTATATAATTTGGTTATTATTTTTTGTTCTGGGCCTTGTAAAATCTTATCCAATTCGTTCAAATTATTCGAGATTCCATATTGCTTTTTGTCTGCTATGTGTCTTGAGTGTATTTGAGTATAGGGCCACCAATCGATATTTATGCCGGAGTTTTGGAGTTGCTGTCTTGAAATGAGTTCGCCTTCATGATTCAGTAAGTCTTGGTACCTCATCATTTTTCCTATTTCGAGAGTGTTCGGGTATATCAATGCTTCCATTGGGGACCACCATTTTGGTATTTTAGTATAGTGAGTTCTCTTAATATCCTGCCAGATCTTGAATAATGAAGCTCGAATTATATGACATTGGAAGTACATGTGTCTTTTATCCGATCCGTCCCATAAGAAAGCATGCCATCCTCTTATTAAGTCAAAGCCTTCTAAATATAAAGTTCTTTTGTTATCGAGTTCCATCCATTCTTTAATCCAGGTCAATCCTGATGCTTTATAGTAGAGTTCCCAATCTGGTGTTGCTAGACCTCCTTTGTCCCGTGAATCCTGTAGGGCTTTGATTTTAATTCTGGCCTTCTTTCCCTGCCATATGTAGTTCATTGTTGTTTTGTTGAGGTTCTTAAAGAAATCTCTTCCGGGGTGTATTGGTATCACTTGATATAAATATAGTACTCTTGGTAATATATTCATTTTTATTGAGGCAATTCTGCCCATCAATGAGAGTTGTAATCTACTCCAAATTTCTAAGTCTTTTTTGATTTGTTTTAACAATTTGGTATAATTATCTTCTTTAATTGTAGTTGCTTTTGCTGTCAGCCAAATACCTAGGTATTTTATTTTCTTTACTATTTGAAGTCCTAATTCTTGTTCTAATTTCAACTGTTGTGTTTGGGTCATATTCTTCGTCAATACTTTCGTCTTCTGCTTATTTATTTTGAGGCCCGCAACTTCCCCGTATTCCTCTATCATTGTCATCAACCTGGTTCCAGATCGTATTGGGTTTTCCAATATGAAGATCACATCGTCTGCAAAGGCAAGTAATTTATACTCCTCTCCCCGAATCTTAAGGCCTTCTACGTCTTCTTCCTTCCTGATTTCCGTTAGTAAAACTTCCAGTGCGATTATAAATAATAGACGTGACATGGGGCAACCTTGTCGTACGCCTTTCTGAATGTCAAAAGTTTGTGTCATGTCACCATTTATTGCAATTTTGGCTGTTTGACAGGAGTAAATCTTTCTTATCAATTTAAGGAATTTCTCTCCGCAATTCATTAATTCAAGTTGTGATGTAAGAAAGGACCAATTTAAATTATCAAAGGCCTTCTGGGCGTCGAGAGATATTAAAGCTATTTCCTTATCTATTTTCTTATCGTAGTATTCCAGTATATCTATGATCGTTCTCAAATTATTTTTAATCTGCCTCCTGGGTATGAAGCCGTTTTGGTCTGTATGTATGTATTTATGAATTATTGTTTTAAGTCTCTGCGCTAATATTGACATGAATAGTTTGTAATCTACATTGAGTAATGAAATGGGTCTGTAATTCCTAACTTGGGTCCGGTCTAAATCTTCTTTGTGTATTAACGTATTAATGGTTTCTGTCCATAATTTTGGGATTTCAGCTGTCAATAATGCTGCGTTGAAGACTTGTAGCAATATTTCGTCTATTTCTTGTTGGGAGTGTTTATAAAATTCAGTAGGAATTCCATCTGGTCCTGGAGTTTTATTGTTCTTTTGTTTTTTACGAGCTTTTGACCAACATTTTGGTTTTTCCTTTATTCAATTTAAATCCAGATACCTCTCCATATCTTCTTATTTCCTCCAAAATTCTCGGGCCCATTTCTAAAGGTTCCTCTATGATGAGCACTACATCATCCATGAAGGCCTGTGTCTTATACTCTTCTCCCCTAATCTTTAGTCCTTTTATTTCGCTATTGTTCCTAATTCTATTTAACAAGGTTTCTAGTGTCAAAATGAATAGCAGTGGTGATAATGGACACCCTTGTCTTACACTTTTCTTAATTTGAAATGTATTCGTCATGTCCCCATTTATTATTATTCTTGCCCTTTGTAATTTATAAATTGTTTCTATCATTTTCTCAAAATTGGTTCCAATTTCATTATTTTAATTTGTTCGATCATGAATTTCCAATTAAGATTGTCAAAGGCCTTTTGAGCATCCAAAAATACCAAATTCATTTGCTTTGGTATTAAATAACAATAGTTATTTAATAAATTCTACCTAGTTAATAATTAACAATTAACTTATTTCTCAAATATATACAATTTATTTAATTAAACACTCAACAGATAGCATAGAAGGGGGAAAGGGGGATGGCAAGATAATAAAAAAGTAAAGGAAGAGTAGTTTATCTTAATAGGTATATTACAAGACACTGTTCAAGAGTTATTTCACTTTGTTATATTAAAGTTTTTCCTTTGTTGTTGTTGTTGTTGTTTTCTAGTGTTCATATAATAGTCTTTTTACACAGTTTCAATTTCTTATATTGTTCCAACTATTATTCTTCAAATTTCTACAGTCTTTTAAGTCAAGATATTTTCAATGTCCTTCTGTCACTACTTTATCCTCTTGGGTTCCTTTCCAAAAATTAGTCCAGTTATGAGTCTAGTTATCTTATAATAGTCCTTTCTTTCTTTCACAGTTCTATTAATCACTCTTCTTCCTCTATTTGCTACTTACAATGGCAGCTCTTCCTGTTTCCTTTCTTTTCAGTCCCAGCCTTGTCCCCTTCTATCTCTCCGCAATGCCAACGCTTCTTCCTCTTTGTTATTTACTCATGGAATCCACCAGCTCTTCCTCTCCGTGCCTCTACTGTACTAAAAACTTTGTTTCTCTCCAATGTCATCCTGTCAGTTAAGCTTATTCTGCTGATTCATTCTCCATACATCTAATCTCCACTTGATCTCCTTCCATGAGTCCTCTATTCTGACAGGACCGATCTCACTTCTCCAAGTTTCTGTACCTTTACGGTGTTCTGGCAAAACTTCGTTCCAAACACTGTCCACTCCGATCTTCTTCACTCCCTGGTTATTTGTCATCTTACCGCAACCTCGAGTCTGCCATTTCAAAAGGACAGACACATTCGTGCTGGGTTAACAGAGGCATCTGTTCGAGTGGCAAACACTTGCCCCATGCCTTACCACTCTCTGGACTCCCTCTCTAGCTCACAATGCCCTCCAGGCTCTTGTGTCCCTAAGGGTCCCCAAAGCACGAAGTAATCTGGAGTTGAAGAACAGAGATAGCTCTCCTTCCACCGTCTCACCACGAATCACCAACAGGAAGTCCGAGGCTCCTCCTCTTCATCCTCTTCACTTAAAGGAGCTTCTGGAGGTTCTGAAGGCCCTGGCTGAATCCCTGCCTCTGCCACCACATCTTCTCCATCCTCCTCACTGTCCGATTCGAGCGCCAGCTGCACAGGCTGCTGGCGCAGCACCATACCAGCCTCCTCCTCATCGGAATCAGCTACAATCCGTGCAGGCCGCTGGCGGGCCACAACAAGATATGTATTTTTAGACTTGCAAGATTCTCTTAATAACACTACAATAAAATTAGCTGCTGTGGTCATATTTCCTGTCTTGTCTACCAGGGAGAAGATTATTTTGGGAACGTCCATCTTGAAAAAATCCATGCTTTCTGGTAATCAACCTTTATTTTCAAGCAGTTTATGAATAATCACTTTTTAGCTGTTACTCAATTCATTTCATACCTGCTGTAGAATGTTCCCTATAATTGATGTGTCTATTATATTTTCTCAATACATGTTTTTTTCAATATACCATTGACAAATTTTGCTGAACCTTTCTTGTTCACTTATGAACTTAGTGCTAACACTTGTTGTCCTATTTATCATGTTTGCATATTTTAAAAAAAAACTGTAGAAAAAAAATTCATACATGAAAATACCAGGTGGGATAACAAACCAAAATTTCTGTTTTGAAAATTCCTGGATGTTTCCATTCTAGTTCCATCCCTTTCTGGAGAAGAATGACTTCTACAATCTTTCCCACTGGAATCTTTACGTGGACCATAATGGACAAATAGCTACAGATATGGACATTGAGTTCTTGGTGATTTCACCCGAGGAGGATTTGATCAAAAGGAAACTGGGGAGTATTGAAAGACAGAGAATTATTATTAACGAATTTGCTCTCTTATGGCTAAATCAGCTCAACAAGGTGGGTCAAATATTGCTGTGTTTTCTCTTTTTTCTGTAGGAAGCACATCACAATAGTAATGGGGGATTTTAACTACCCTGACATCAACTGGGAGACAAAGTCTGCTCCAAGTGGAAGATCCAACAGGTTCCTAACAAACCTAGCAGACAACTTTGTTTCCCAAAAAGTAGAACAGGGAACTAGGGGATCAGCCATATTGGACTAAATTCTTACTAACAGAGATGAAACAATAGAAGGCGTTGAAGCTACAGGAACCTTGGGGGCAAGTGATCATGCAATACTGGAATTCAACGTTATGCAAGCACAAGTAATAGAACAAAGTCAAATTAGAGTCTTGGACTTTAAGAGAGCTAATTTCAATAAACTTAGAGAGAGCTTGGGAAGGATTCCATGGATGAGAATCCTCAAGGGGAAAACAACTCAAGAAGCTTGGGAAATTTTGAAAAGTGAGATTATAAAAGCCCAGGCTAGCACAATACCAATGAAGAAGAAAAATAACAGCTCTCAAAAGAAACCAGCATGGCTGCATAAAGAACTCTGCCAAATTGAAAGACAAAAAGGCCAAGTATAAAAAGTGGAAAGAGGAGGAAATAACTAAGGCAGAATATGAGCAAATAGCCCGAGCCTGTAAAGATTAAGTGAAGAAAGCTAAGGCTCACAATGAACAAAGGCTTGTAACAAAAGTAAAAAACAAACAAACAAACAAACAAACAAAAAAGCTTCTTCCAACGTTAAAAGCAAGAAAAAAGTCAAGGAAACAATTAGTCCATTGCTCGGAAAAATTGGCAAGAAGGTGACAAGCAACAGGGAGAAAGCAAAACTACTTAACTCATTTTTATGCATCTGTCTTTACACAAAGGGAAAAACTGCATTCAGTTTTAGTCGCCACAATGTAAAAAGGATGTGGAGACTCTAGAAAGAGTGCAGAGAAGAGCAACAAAGATGATTAGGGGACTGGAGGCTAAAACATATGAAGAACGGTTGCAGGAACTGGGTATGTCTAGTCTAATGAAAAGAAGGGCTAGGGGAGACATGATAGCAATGTTCCAATATCTCAGAGGTTGCCACAAAGAAGAGGGATTCAAACTATTCTCCAAAGCACCTGAGGGCAGGACAAGAAGCAATGGGTGGAAACTAATCAAGGAGAGAAGCAACTTAGAACTAAGGAGAAATTTCCTGACAGTTAGAACAATTAATCAGTGGAACAACTTGCCTCCAGAAGTTGTGAATGCTCCAACACTGGAAGTTTTTAAGAAGATGTTGTCTGAAGCGATGTAGGGTTTCTGGCCTAAGCAAGGGGTTGGACTAGAAAATCTTCCAAGTCTGTTATTATATTATATTACACCTTGTGCAGGTTGAGGAATGCCACTGTTGAAAGGTCACTGATGTTCTATAATCTTTTTTAAGAAGCCCAAACCTGTCCAGAGTAACCCACATCTCTCTTTCAACCCACTGGGATAAGCAATAGGCCTTCTGCTCCTCTGAAGAATCTCTGAAGATGTTCATGTTTCACATGAAATCATAAAGGGTGATTTGATGTGAGATAATGCCCATAACCTGGAAAACTGAAGCTGTGAAACCAGACTTTGATTCCAAGAAAAGGCATTCCTCATTTTGGAAATAACAAGGGAGAATTTGAAAGGAAATGCTACTTAGATTTGGGTTCTGCCTTGTAAGAGCTAAATTCATCTGAAAACTTAGAATGCATTTTTTGAAATTGTTAGCTACGTTAAGTCCCTATGAGAGAATAGGAGGATCCAAATTTAACTGATAAGAAATATAGATTTGTCTTTCCATGCAAGTTGTTGTCCCCTAATTGTAGTAGAAAAAGACTCAGATACAGAACTGGACACAAGTCTCCTACTCTTCTCCCACTTCTGAAGATGAAAAGATTCCTTTTTGAGGGACAAGTCATCATGACCTCTCCTGCATCTCATCTCACCCCAGTTCTAGAAACTAGGCAGTCAGTTGTAGTCTTGTTGAGAGTCATATGAATTGAGGAAAGAAACACACAAATAAAGAAAGCCCTAATTTTAAAGGATTTTTTTTCTTTATATCTTAATTGGAAGATGGTTTTGGACTACTTTCAAAGGGAAGAAATTTTGCAATGTTTTATATACTCCAGAAGAAGCTTATCCAGATCCTACTGGTCCTAATTCTTTCTTTAGTACAGTATTATTTTATTTAATAAGTCTAATATAATAAAAAAGTTAATAAATCATTTACAATAATTTATTTTCCAAAATTGAATGCAAGATCATCATACTGTACTTTAAAATCACAGTTATTTGAAGATTGGAGAAATGCATATTAACAAGGCTAACAGGAGGAACGAAACTGGTTGTCACTTAAGGCTGAAATCTTTTCAGTTCCATCCCTCCAGTCTTTCTTATGTAGAAAAATCCTTTATTTCAAGGTTATAGATGCCAGAAGCAAAGGTGAGTGAGTAAATGAACTATCTGCCAGTATTTATATCTCCTAAATCTGTTTGGAATGAGTCAAGGATTTCATATTTATCTAAGTGAAACCCAGGAACTATTTGGCTAATGTTAATCTCTACATCCATTTTATTTATTTATTTATTTATTTATTTATTTATTTATTTATTTATTTATTTATTTATTTATTATTTTATTTATTTAATTTTTATACCACCCTTCTCCTGAAGGACTCAGGGCAGTGCACAGCCAAAAATAAAAATGAACACATATAAAAGTTAAAACAGTTTAAAAGGGAATTAAATACTTTATCCCATTTCAATTAAGAGAAAGACAACCCATATAACTTAAAATTGATCTTGGTATTCAGGCCAGCCCAGCTTGTTGAAACAACAGCGTTTTGAAACAACTTGTTGAAACAACAGTGTTTTGAAACAGCTTGTTGAAACAACAGCGAAACTCCAGGGGGAGACCAAATTCTATAGTATGCAGCACCCATTGATCAGTGGTGCTGCGGGCCCACCGGTCTAGAAAGAGACTCAGCCGGCCTCCAATGGGGGCCATGAAGGGACCGTCATTTTTGTCGGCGGAACTGGCGATTGCCCGTTCCACGCGAAGATCGTTTTGGGGGCCCGAAAGATTTAGGTCTGTCTCGAAATGACCCTCTATCTTGGGGACGAAAGGAGTCCTGAGCATATGGACGCTGACTAGAAGTGTCCTGAGAATAATATCTAGCCTGAGGCCTGCAGTAATATGGGGTGGCCCTGCAGTCAGCTCGTCTTGTGATTGACGGCAGTATCTTTTTCTTGTCCCTGTCCTCGACTAAAAGGGGCTCAAGAGACTCTCCAAACAATTTAGACCCTGAGTACAGGGTGGATGCCAAGCGCCATTTTGCTTTGAGATCAGCTGGCCATTGTCTCAGCCACAACAAACGCCGTGAGGTGATGGAGGAAGCCATAGCCCGAGAGGCGTACTTGGCTGCATTAAGTGTGTACGAAAGGTGCGTAGGTCAGGAATCATCCGTATTCATGGATGCTTCATCCCAATATATTTTCTTTGGCATTTCTTCTTTTTCTGCTTAGTCTCTGCCTCAGTCCCAATGTGTGGAAAGTTGTCATCCTGGATTTGTCAAGCGGAAGCGAGAAGGAGAGCCTGCTTGCTGCTATGACTGCATTATTTGTCCTGAGGGGACCATCTCCATCCATGAAGGTGGGGGACATCAAGAAAAAGGGAAGGCCTTGTGGAAGTGGATTCATCTGAAACACTGGCATGAAAGTGCAAATTAAAAAACAGATAAATTGTTTTTTTTATTTTTGTCAGCAGTCTGCTAGTTCGATTCTCACCAGCTGAAGGTTGACTCAGTCTTCCATCCTTCTGAGATAGGTAAAATGAGGACCCAGATTGTTGGGGGCCAGAGGCTGACTCTGTAAACTTCTTAGAGAGGGCTGTAAAAGCACTGTGAAGTGGTATATAAGTCTAAGCGCTATTGCTATTATCTTCAAATTGCTTAATTTCTTACTAGAGAGAGGGATAACAAAAAAACCTTGATGGAAGGCCTAGAAAGAGATTGGACAAGCTTCTCTACTGCCAGAAAATCCAGGAAATGCATCGAGAAAGATTAATTGATTCATTATCTACCTCCAATAATGTAGGTTCTGCAAATTACATAAGAAATCATTCAGGTTCCATGACTTCTTCCGATTTCATAAACTATAAAAATATATTTGTTTTTTAAGAAAATGATATTCTTCTTACCTTCTCTCTGTAGGGATTTTAAGAAAATACTGCTGGTAACAAATGTTGTCCCAGAAAAATATTTCTTGAAATGAGAAAGTACAGAATATTTTTAAAAAATATTCCTTTTTTTGTTTACTCAGATACAGAAAAATGCACAAAGTGTCCAGATGAAAAATATCCAAATGAGGACAGAATCCAATGTATCCCCAAAGTTATTTCCTTCCTTTCTTATGAAGAACATTTGGGAATCATCCTGGTCTCTTTTGCCCTATTCTTGTTCTTAGACACAGGTCTTGTTTTAATTATATTCATTAAACATCTAGAAACTCCCATTGTGAAAGCCAACAACCGAGACCTCTCTTACATCCTCCTGGTCTCCCTCCTGCTTTGCTTCTTGTCTCCTTTTCTCTTCATTGGTCAACCAAGGAAAGCCACTTGCCTTCTCCGACAATCAGTTTTCAGCATCATCTTCTCAGTTGCTGTTTCTTCTCTCTTGGCCAAAACCATCACAGTGGTGCTGGCTTTCCTGGCCACAAAACCAGGAAACCGAGTGAAGAGATGGTTGGGGAAGAGCTTGGCCAACTCCATCATCCTTTCTTGTTCTAGTGTCCAAATTGTGATCTGCTCCATCTGGTTGGGAATTTCTCCCCCATTCTGTGACTCAGACTTTCACTCCCAGCCTGGAGAGATCATCCTGCAATGCAATGAAGGCTCTGTTTTCATGTTCTACATCACCCTCAGCTACATGGGCTTCCTGGCTGCCATCTGCTTCACAGTGGCTTTCCTGGCCAGGAATCTCCCTGGAGCCTTCAACGAAGCCAAGCTGATCACCTTCAGCATGCTGGTCTTCTGCAATGTCTGGGTCTCCTTCCTGCCCACCTACCTGAGCACCAAGGGGAAATATATGGTGGCTGTGCAGGTCTTCTCCATCTTGGCCTCCAGTGCTGGTCTGCTGGTCTGCGTTTTCGTCCCTAAGTGCTACATTATCATTTTGAGGCCAGACTTGAATACAAAGGAGCATCTCAGGACCAGAAGAATTGTGTAAATGTGAGTTCGAGGAATATCTAGAGAGGGTTGTAAAGACCTGTGAAGTGGTATATAAGTCTAAGTGCTAATGATATATGTTTTAGCTCCAATTCCCTAATCATTATTGTTGCTCTTCTCTGCCCTTTTTCTAGAGTTTCAACATCTTTTTTACATTGTGGTGATCAAAACTGGATACCGTATTCCAAGTGTGGTCTTATCAAGGCTCTAAGAGATAAAGATGGATCCTGGCTTGATTCAGAAGACCTTTTCTTAATGTTTGGAAATGGAAGTTTGCAAGGACATCCTCTTGAAATTTTCACATTGTTTATCAAATTTAGCAGAAATGTGTTTGGTTGGCTGTATCCCCCTTCTTGGTTTTATCATGGTTGTATTTTTCTAGTGGCCAAGAAGTTCTCAGCCTTCCTCATCCCTTCTTGGACCTGGATAAAGATGTAGCATTTAAGGACTGTACTTTTAACCAAGTCTGTTTTTGCTGAAGCAACTGCAGGAACACATAGTAATATGGTCAAGTTTTCTAGTGTCTTCCGTTATTCTGCTGTTTTGGAGAGAAACTGTTCATCCTAAACATGTGCCAATTTTCTTCAAACCATGTATGCGATTAACTAGTTTTCAAAGATTGATGTTAAATGTCTTTTTCTTATTTTTTTTTTCAACTCTAATTGTTCATCTTTTAATTTTTTTCTTCTTCTCTGTGTTCTCCTTTGAATGATGTATTTTGTTGACCGCTGGTCTGAGAGTAAATATATTTTTAATTTTTAATTTACAATTTTGGACAAAACAGTGGATTGAATTCAATTCCAGCAGGCTCTATATATTTATTGTATCCCTTACTTACTTACTTACTTACTTACTTACTTACTTACTTACTTACTTAAGAAGCATACTGATTTTGTGCATGGGTTGACAAATGTTTACAAAAAAATAGATAGGGAAAAAGAAATAATCTTTAGGAAATGTTAAATAGTCTAAATTGTCAAATAAAGATATCAACAAATACCTTCCAATATTCTTCACAGCAGTTATAAGTACAATTATATTTTAACTTCTCTCTTTCTAAGGTTACATTGTGAGACTTTTTATCTATACTTTCCGGTGTATGAAAACCATAAATCACAACTTCATTTTTTTCATTTTTACACAAAAAAATCCATAATGCATTTCCAGTCATCAAAATATGTAAATATTGCCCTTTCTCTATTCAAAGTACTCAGTTTGACCATCTCAGAAGGTTCTGTCAATTTCACAATGATTCCTCCCTGCTGGGTAGTTCTGAATGTTTCCTTGTGCATTGAGTAATCCCACCACAATAATCACATATTAAAACAATGTTCCATGTCATTTTCCTAACTGATCATCCATCAGTCCTCAAAAAAAATGTTTGCTTTAAAATCCTCTGTCCCCTGTATTTAAAATCCTCTGTATTTGAAAATGTGCACAGTCCCTTGGGAGTTGGGTGGCATAGAAATGCGACAAATTAAATTAAATTAAATTAATTAAATTAAATTAAATTAAATTAAATTAAATTAAATTAAATTAAATTAAATTAAATTAAATTAAATTAAATTAAATTAAATTAAATTAAATTAAATTAAATTAAATTAAATTAAATTAAATTAAATGTCCCTTCACATTTTTCATATTTCCAACTCTAGAAACCTTTTCAATAAAAGAGCCCATGATGTAATATCTGAAAATCTGTTTTAGTTGAATTGGCTTGAGAACTTTTATCAATGTAATTTCTCTCATCTTTGTCCTCAGTGCTCCTCATCTTTCTATTTAGCTCTTTCCCAAATTGAAGCAGGTAGAAAGAGCAACATGTTCAGAACCCTTAAAAAACCAGCATTGTGGGGGACTTCTGGATTTCTCAGGGAACCTTGTCCATTTCCTTTGGAGTCGCCAACTCAAACTCCTCCCAGATCACAACACCAGACCATGTACCAGGCACTTGTTCAGGTCAGAAGAAATCTCAGTAATTTTATTCTCCAGATAGCCTGTATAATATTCTCCCCAAAGACCCAGCCAGATGTTGTGAGGGCCTCTCACTAACCTATAAGAACCAGGTCATCCTAAATCTGGCTGCTGAGTGGCTATCAGCTGTTGAGGGTAAAACTTCCCTCTGCATAGTAGGCAACAGACTGGACAGCAAAGAGATACATTGCTGGTTAAACACACAGATACTCACAGACTCTGAATGGTGAAAAAAAAACATTCTTTACTCTTAGTGAAAAAACAAACTTGGTTTCTCTAAACAATGATAACACATCTTCGAATAATCACTCTCCAACACAAAACATAGTTTGCTTACAGTTCTCTTCGGTCACACACAGTCCCTCTTCAGGAGATCAATCATCAAATAGCAAGAGCAGGAGCTCCCGGGCTTCCTGTCTACTTTTATGGCTGCCTGATAATAGCACAGCCAATCATTCTTCTTATATCATTTAAAGTCACAAACATAGTTTTTCTATATATTACCTACCAAACCATAGGATAAATATCCAACATTCTCCCCTTTGGGTAGCTTAATATATTTACAATCTCAAACCATATTGTTCACATGTATCTTTATGTTTCCTACTTCCTTGTCAATCAGCCACATTGTCTTCCAATGCACAATATACAAGTTCTATCATCTTGTTCATTATACACTCTCTTACATTTAGATACCAAAGATCTGTATGCTTCGTTCTAGTTTTCACAGCTATATTCGTCGCAATTTGAATCGCTGCCTGATTATCTTCGTATACTGTTATAGGATCTCTTATATTTATTCCTATATCTAGCATCAGTTGCTTAATACTAATCAGATCAGTACATAATAAAGATAAACAAGAAAATTCTGCCTCCATTGTAGACATACTCAAATGCTTCTGTCTAATTGAACGCCACCATATCAAAGACTTCCCAAGAAATATAGCGATTCCTGAGGTTGATTTCCTTGTATTCACATCTGTTGCAAAACTAGCATCTGCATAAGCAATTATGGGTAAATCTTCTGATGGTTATAGATATAATGCATGATGCATGGTATATTTCAATTACCTTAGGATACGTTTTGCTCCCTGCCAGTGTCTTTCTGTAGGTTCCTTGTTAAACCTAGCCAATTGGTTAACACTATAAGAAATATCGGGCCTAGACCAATTGCTGATATATGATAAGCTGCCAACCAGCGATTGGTAAATCCCTTTATCAAACAACAGACTGTTTAGATCAGTGTTACAATAGTCTTGAACCATAGGTGTCTTTGATGGTTTACACAACTCCATCCTAAATTGTTTTAATAAATTATTGATTTTATCAGTTTGGGATAATTTAAATCCTCCCCTGTTTTTTTCAATTCGTAAACCCAGGTATTGTTGTATCTCCCCTAGATTTTTAATTCTGAAATGAGTTTTTAATTGATCAACAATCCTGCTGGTCTCTTGTTCATTTTCTGTAATCAAAGCTATGTCCTCCGTAAAAAGAAGTAATAACGACACTTTATCATCCCTCTCCATTCTAAATACACATGGATCTGCTAATCCTGCTTTGAATCCAATCTTCTCTAATGTTCTTACCATACACTGGTTCTATTTGTACCCTGAGTGTTTTAACCCATAAAGGCTTTTCCTTAATAACCAACAGTCAGATGTCCCATTCTCCTCTAATCCTGAGGGTTTCTTTAAATAGATTTTGTGCTGTAGTGGTGCATGTAGGTATGCAGTCTCTACGTCCAAATGATTAACTATATATTTATATCTAGCTGCCCATACCAACGCTGCTCTTAGTGTAATGGCTTTTAAACTTGGAGCGAATACCTCATAATAATCTTCAGGAGATTGATTAAATCCTTGAGCTACCAGTCTAGCCTTATATATTGGTTCACCCTTTATACCAGTCTTTAATTTATATATCCACTTACTACCAAGTATAGTTCTACCTTGTGGTATTTTTACAGTTTCATAAACATTTAAATTCTGCAAAGATTTTAGTTCTTTAGTCATTGCAGATCTCCACACTTCCTGGTCTTCAGGTGGAAACATGGTTAACTCATTATATGTTGTAGGAACTTTGTTTATTTGATAGACCATTGTTGCCTGATACCTATCAGGTGGTCTTGTTACTCTATTTGACCTTCTTGGAAGATCAGGACTTACAGATGGTCTCTCCACCTTCACCTGTTCCTGTACTACGTCCCCCTCTACCTCTTTGTTCTGGATTTCTGGCATTTCATTAGTAGCTTCCGTCTGAGTTTCAATGATAACCTCATTCTCAGTCCCCAATTTATTCCACCCTACATGCTCCATAAACTTTGCATTCACACTGTTAACTACCATTGTTGTTCCTTTTAGCCAAAATCTGTAGGACCTGTGGTTTGAATTATAACCAACAAATATTAATTGTTGTGCCCTACTCTGGCCCTTACATCTTAACTGCGATGGAATATGTACCCATGCAGGTGACCCAAATGTGTGAATGTAACTCAAATCTGGCTTCTTTCCATGCCATACAGTATGGGGAATTTTCTTAGTGGTTGTATTTACAACATTGTTCAAGAGTGTATTTGCACACATTATGGCTTCTCCCCATAGACTGGCCGGTAAACCTGCATCAGCTAACATTGTTCTCATCATTGCTTGTAAAGTTTGTCCTCTCCTTTCAACATATGAATTAAGTTGTGGTCTATATGGAGCTGAACATTTATGTTTTATACCAGCATTGTCCAACATTGATTTAAACCTCGTGTTTACAAACTCAGTACCCTTATCAGTTACAATGGTAACTATTTTTTGCTTTGTTTTTCTCTCGACAAACTTGATCCACTGAACAAAATACCGAAATGTATCTGTCTTATTCCTCAATAGGTAGCAAAAACCATACCTGGAGTAATGGTCAACTATGCTTAGGACATAACAAGCACCCCCTAGACTAGCTTTCATTGGCCCTATTAGATCAGCAAATACCACTTCCAGTGGTCTCTTCATTTTAAATCGGTCAAACCTATTGGCAGGGAGTGTTCTGCTCTTTTGCTGATTACAAATATTGACCTTCCTTGTTCAGGTCAGAAGAAATCTCAGTAATTTTATTCTCCAGATAGCCTGTATAATATTCCCCCCAAAGACCCAGCCAGATGTTGTGAGGGCCTCTCACTAACCTATAAGAACCAGGTCATCCTAAATCTGGCTGCTGAGTGGCTATCAGCAGACCTAATGAAGGTGGGGAAATATTGCTTTTTCAGCCCACTTATCACCATGAGGTAATCTCCAACATGTGCTCTTACTAATGTTCACTCAGATTCCCTTTAGTTTTAGTAACATGTGGCAGATAACATCAGGGATGAGACCCATAACGCATCAACCTGGAATTCAAAAGCAACAACCAAAACCCAGAACCACCAATGATCTGTTAGCCAGGCACTGAGACAAGAAGCCTAGGGCCATACAGTGGGACAACCTTTGAGTAGCACATCAGATGTTACCAAATATGGCCAAACATTTACCAATCCCTATCAGGATGCTCCTACCAATTCCTTCAGCTCCCCACTTTAATTCAAATCTCATGGCCAAGAAACATTATCCTCCCAACTAGATACATCAGGAATTTGGGGACTCCCAACCACACCTGCCAACCTCTTGGGCAATATTTCGGGAGGATTTACATACAGTTTTACAGATGGGAAAGTCAAAGTGGGCCCTCCCCAAAACCAGTTTCTGGGTGGCTGTGGCAAGAAATTAGGTTGCATCACACATCATCCTATGGGCATTGCCATCATCTCAGCTGCGGACATGATGAACCCAGGGTTTATTTGATAAATAAGAAACTTCAAACTATCATGATACTTAGTGCCTTACGTAGATCTGGAAGGACAATACAAAATAGAAAGAAATAGAAAGAAAAACTTCTATCCACTCTATGACTATCCCTGTATCCCTAGGTTGTCAATTTTCTGCTGATAGTTGGCTCTTTTCCAACACTTGACATTTCTAGAACAGATGGGACATGAAATTGCACTTCAAGCATA